CTTGATTTTTAATTTTATTGGAAATTTTATGCTTGCATAGGCACAATTTTTTTTAATATTTCATATCTCATAAACGGTCAGAGATAGCCATAGGACATAGTTGACCAAAGTTGTTCACATTGGTTGGCTGAATTCGAAAATTGAATAACATACAGGGTATTCTATTTGAAAAAAATTAGTTATGGTCATTTATCAAAGGTACAAATTGAGACGTATTTTTCAGACACTCTGTATAGAATAAGATTCTAGTTTCGTTCTGAAATAACAACCACCATATCTTACCTCAATGTTGCCAGAATTTCAGTTTGGTGTATCAGTTAATTCATGCGATATTGAATATTAAAAATACCATGTTTTCGCCAAAAAAAAAATACAAAATAATTAATATTTTAAAAACGATGAGAGATAGGTATAGAACATGGTCCACAAAGGTAATTTGGATTTTGATGCAGAATTCAAAAATGATATAATATATAGGATGTTCCATTTAAAATTTCCAAGTTGATGTCTCTTACATGTAGATGTGGCAACAATTTGGTGATGAAAATATTTTCAAACGATGGATTACTGCCATCTACATCGGTAACCAACATTTGAAACTCTCATCTTTTTTCGTTATCTAGATACGTCTAATAATCCATCGTATGAGACAAGTCATATTTTAAAAACAAGAAACCAGAAAACAAGAAGAATTATTGATGACAATTTCTTGAAATATATTCACTACATTTTCTTTTGAATTAATTTAATGAATCACAGGTTTTTATATGACTTGGCAAATTATTAAATGCAATCAGACCAGAACTATACAACGAACCACAACCTATATGTTCTCTGTTAATATAAAAATTTCCTATTCTATTTCTAGTGGAGTGTGTATAAATACTACTTGTGTAGCTTAACTGATCACTCAGATAATTTGGCAACATTGTGTTTAATGTTAAATATGAATATTAGCATATTCATTGTTATTCTTTGTTTAGCAGACATAAGAGACAGTGTTTCCGACATGCATTCCACATATGTGCGTTTATTACAACTTAATGTTGCCCTCATGGATCTGTTTTGAAGCTTCTGTAGTCTGTTTAGATTTTCATTGCTCACAAAATAGAGTAATATACTGCAATACCCTGTATATATAGTATATATGACTTACCATAAATATACACACTTCGGAAAAGTCTAGGGATATTTTTAAAAATGGCAATAATTTTTTTTTAGATCGCTTTAGGGAAAAAAAGTTGACGGGTGATTATTAAACGAATGTAACTTACAACAAAATTTATTAAATGGTCAAAAATACTGAGTGCGCATATAAGCAAAACTAAANGGAATTGTCCAGGCAATACAGTGTTTGGCAGGAGAGGCTCCGTTCTTTTTCCTATCAGGAAAAATAATTAAGAAATTGGGTCACATCCACACGATGTCTCTGGTTTTGTTCGCGGTTGGAATAAGGTTCATATTGTATTCGGTTGTTTCCAATCCGTGGTATTTTCTTCCGATAGAGTTGATGAACGGCATCACTTTCGGATTGTTCTTCGCCTGCATGGCGTCCTATGCCAGTATCATTGCTCCTGCGGGAACCGAGGCCACAATGCAGGTGAGTAAATTTTATTATTTTCATTAGTGGTACATGGGATTGTTTGAGGTTGGATTATAACCGTACACGGTAACACTCCTGCTTAGAAAGAATACGTACTTATAAATATCTTGGGCTGAAAATAAATGATAAGTTGAAGTTCAAGGATCGTGCAAGAAGCTTGCCTCAGACTGCTACGCACTGAGAGTCGTCTCTACAGAACTAGGCAATGCCCATACAAAAACAGCCTATTTTGCTCTTATAGATTCCTATATCAGATACGGCATTGTATTCTGGGGAGTCTGCTTCAGAGAATTATTTCAAATGATTTTTGTTCTTAAAAAAATGGCTGTCCAATGCATGTGCAAAGCTGTTTCTTGGGTTACATGCAAACCTCTTTTCGAAGCTCATGTTATTTCAACTGTAGCATCCCTTTACATTTTGGAAATTTTCTATTCAATTGAGAAACATCATTTGTCTTATGTGACCAACGTTTCTTATAATAGCTGCAGTCACAATAACAATTTAGAACTGCCATTCTCTGCCATCCGCCAGTTCAAATTAAAGAAATCGTATTTGACACTTATTAAATCGTATTTGACAAATCGTTTCCAAGCTGTATTATTCAACAACGAATTGTCCATTTTCAGAGACGTTAAATTTGCTGTTCCACAGGGGTCGGTCCTGGGCCCAGTGTTGTTTGTAATCAATATTAATGATCTTCCTTCCTTCTTGTTTCTGAACGACAGTGTTCTATATGCAGGTGACACTACGCTAATTTATTCCCATGAGGAATATGATTCCCTAGAAACCGTTTCGGAAGAAATTGAGGAGATAGCTGAACAGTGGTTCTTAGCTAACAAGCTGAAATTAAACAAATCTCTTATTCTTTCTCAAACAAACTGTACAACTGTTTTTCTCGACATCATCATGAGAATTCTCAGTACTAATTATAAATTGAAAAGGTTATATTTTCAGAAGTGACTAATTTTTGGGAAAGTTTTTGGCCTTCTACTACTCCATCTTGTTACAAAAAAATGTGGGAATCTACCTTCCTTTCTTACTAACTAAACTTATTCATCATTGTTTTTTTTATCTCATCATTACAGTCAGCAACTAGGAGACTAGTAGATATCGTTGTGCCTTCATTAAAGATATGGTAATCATAGAAGATAACTAATGTATTGACTTTACAATAGAGATCAACATACCTAAAATAACAATTAACATAGTAATTAGTATAATTTTCTTCATCTGGGACCTTCATGACTATGAATTTATATTTTCAGTGTCATTATTTTTCGAGTGTGAAGGCCGTCGGTTTTTGGAATTTCTTCCTGACGTTTTGCTGGGACGAGTGGCTACAGGTCTATATAACCTGAGTTTATCTCCCATGACATCCTGAGATGAACTCAGGATGTGTAAACCTCTGAAGAAGTTTCATTCATCGGCTGACGATTCCAATTATTGTTTTCTCAACACTTATTTCGCTAAAGAAGCTTTGAGAAAAAGAACCTACTTTGAATCTAGTTGCGGAAAAATAATTTGGTCTATTTCCAATTAATCATTGACTTGTATTCATAAATTGGACCTACAAATCAAGTAATAAATAGAAAAACATTCAATTGATTTACTTAGCTTGCTTTAAATGGTTAACGTTTCCATTTCGTTACTGAAAACCAAAAAAATCACTTTTGAAAATGATTCGGTATTCTATTGTTGTTGTTCATTTTCGTATGTGTGTGTATTCATAAATTTTGCCTACAAATTGAAAATAAAATAAACGAGATTTAAGTATTTACTTGGCTTGGTTTAGATGGTTAATGTTTCGGAAAGTATAATTTCGTTCTCAAAACCCAAAAAGTAGAGTAGAACTATTCGGTAAAAACTGAATGGAAATCACAAAGTTATTTGAAGGTTGGTAGTCAGTTGATTACAGTAAGTAGTTCATTCTACTGATTTAATCAACCGCTATGCGAATGTTGGTTCGGATCCAACTATAGAATTTTGTATTTACTGCGCACCGTTTGCTAGGAATCGGACGTTGACAGATAAGACCTCGTTAATCCTTGGCTCGCACAAGTTTCGACTTCTGAGGGTTTTCGTCCGTAAGGGGGCAACAGCTGGCTAACAGAATCAGCAGAAAACAGAAAAAGTTGACAAACTAATATCGAATGAATTCAAGAGCTAGTTTGTTGCAAACTCTGAAAAGATATAGTAGCGATTGTGGTTGATTGTGGTAAATGAATCTTGTTTATTATCAACTGACTGAGTCTTGTGAAATGATAAAAACATACGATCAATCGATTATAATTTAAAGTGCATTCCTCTACAAATGCCAAGATAATGCCAAGAATAATCACCATTTATGTTATATCTCGCTTTTGAAATATAAGTTTTTGATATGTAATGTTACCAACATTTTTTGATCTTGTACAGCCATGCGTTGAGCAGAATTACTAGCATGTAAAAATGTATTGATGAAGAATTGATCTTCATCATACTCAGGTATGATTGAAAAATTTGTATTGAGTTTGTAAGGTGCGTTTTACAATAGAACTGGTTTTTTACTTATAAATAAATATCCAGTTTCGAAAATATGAAAAAGTCGTGATAATTCTTTTTCACTCGCCACTTCACAAGCTCCGGAAGAAGTTAGCGTGCGCGTGTTTTTCCGCCGTTGAAGAGACCGTCCTTCTGTGGTCTCGTGGCCTGGGATTGTTGGTTCTTCCTTTGAAGGATTGGGATCCACTACTACCGGTTAGGCTGCTCCTTGTTCCGTTAAGTGATTAAAGATCCTACCAACTGCGCCAATTTTTTATATCTCGCTTTTGAGATATATTTATTTTGAAAATAGGGATACAGTACTGTGTTCCTTTGAGTTACAGAATACACAATAATATAAAGTAATGAACTTGTATGTGAGTCCAATAATTTGTAACTAACTATTTCGTCACACAGGACGGTATTATAGGAAAATAATTGTTTACATTAACTGAAATTGAAACAAACAGAATAAAGAGTCTTTGTGTCTTCTTCAAAGAACTATGTATTAGCAGGTGTTGATTCTGCAGCATCAGCGTTGACATTTGATCCTTGTTTACTTCATGTCACCTTGGTTATGAATGGAGAAGGTCAATAAACAACATATTATAACATATATAAATTTTATCAGGCGTATCAACAGAAACTACAACATGAAATATGAACTTCTGAAAACTTCATGTGTCATTTATAGTGTAACTTGAAATGTATCAGTATTATATCAAAACATTGTAATCTATACATGGTAAATATCTCGCTATCAATAAGAAATATTGGGAATTATCTTAGGTCTTTAGTTTGAGGTTGTATGACGAGAAAAATCTGTCTTAAAGGTGATCCAAAAGTTCTGGTACGCTGAATAACTCGAAAATATACGTGTAGCAGTAAAAAAAACCAGTGCCAGCAGTTTAGGATTTTTTTCTGGCTATACGATAAGCCTTTTGATTTCACCTCGACCTTGCGAATTATTTGAAGGTCTAGAGTAGATTTTGAGTGGGAATCTATATTTTTCAATTACAAAGAAGTACAACCTGATGTGACCTTGAGTTAATCTAATATTAACTTCTGAAGATCATTCGAAGAATCATGAGTCATAAGAAAAAGTTGATGTACAAACTGTTCGCATTTTTCTTCTCACTACTAGACAGCTACCTTGCATTTGATCATGATCTTGCAAATCGTTTGAAGGTCGGGGTAACCCATTTTTTTTATCTAGAGTGTGATTGGTGACAGGTCATATCTGAGCGCAATTTTTTCTACTTTTGTTCGATCTTTCTTGAGAAAACTAATGAGATACAAACTACTTATTGAGAAAATTGATCACTTTGAAACCCTCTTCCTTTTTAAATTCCAAACCCGACGCTATCGCTAGAACTATTACAATATACACAGTGTATTCTATTGAATAGAATAACTTGGGACTTTCAATTTTATTATTTAATGCAATTGAATCAGTTATAAACTTTACCTCTACATATAACTGTGTCAATTAGCTTGACCCACTTTAATTATCAAGTCCAGTGCATATGCATCCATTTGAATATTATCAATAACTTGAAACATTTTTTTAGGGATTGGTAGGCGCTGTTTTTGAAGGTGTCGGAGTATCGCTAGGAAGCCTACTTGCCGGTTGGACCTACAAAAATTTGGGAGGACCCCTTACATTCCGCTACTTTGGTTACGGTGCCTTCGTAGCATGTGTTCTACATGTCGCTGTCCAGTATTTATTATCTTTGAAAGGTAAAGAGGATTTGAGTAAAAAATAATATTTTTTAGAGGTGGCGATTTATACTTAATATTGAGGCAGTTATACTGCTGGTGCCATATTGAATAAATATTTTAATGTCTTTGCCATTATTTCACTTAAGATATATTACTGAGTGATCAATAAATTCTAAACAGATACACTTTTATATTTTGGAAATTGTGATAAAACTGTATTGATGAAATTTTATTATTTTCATTGAGACTAATTACTTATGAAATAGCCTTCTCATATGTTTCTTTACATTATTTATTCTTAGAGCAGCAGCATGCAGTAAAAATTAATCAAACACTCATTCAAAATCAAATTAACATTAAAAGGAAGTTACTAGCCGAGTTATATCAACTTATTTATATTGTGTTCGTGAAGCACAAAGTCAGGCCATACTAACAGGACCAGGTAATTTGCTAATACAGAAACACTAGAAAAAGTACATACTATGTACATAGTCATTTCCACTATTTACAGTCATTTAATCATTATTATAGAAAGTAAACTGAGTCATCACTAGATTTTAAGTCTCAAACTAAAGAACAGTAGCTCGAGAATCAAAACAGGAGATCTACTGCAAGACCAAAAGACCTGGCAACACTGACACTTTCCCATGTGTTTTCTTCTTCATCCACAGTGGATTGATTGTCACTATTTCGAACTCTCATTGCATTATGGCTTCATTGTGAAAAATTCGATTTTCCCGCTCGAAGCATTGTAAATAACACTGTGAAGCATACTGCTGACTTTGCTTCTATTATAACAGAATAATTGTTCATGTTTGCACAATCACAGATGTTATAACCTCAATTGCCTTGGCATCCATTATGACTACTGTCATAACCTGATAACCGAACGTTGTCAATTCCTTTAATATTTGATTTTTTGTTTCCAATTTTTAAAACGTTATAATAGTTTTTCTGCAATTCCGGGCGAAGACAAATCCATTGAATCGAAAATCAGATTCATTTGTCTACTTTGAACTGTAATATCTCATCTTTTTGAGGAAGAGTACTTTTCTATTGTCTCCACACAAAAATTTATTATTTATGATGATAAGCCTTTTGATAATACATAATTAATTCCATAGAATATGATGCAACACAGACATTTCAATGTAGATTATGGAATAAATTTCTTGTTATCAACTTTGTGATACAAGGTCAGACCCCCGATATGTGTTTTCCTTTTCACAGTGTTTAAAATGCTTGGACTGAAAATGTCAGGATAAGAATATAAACATATTTTCCACAATTTCCTCAATGAAATTCAATTTTCCAAGTTCTTTTTTCGTTATTCATTTGCTACTAAATATGTTTACAAGATCACCTCAAATAAACAAAAATCTCTTTTTTAGGACCATACATTACAATCACATCAAAATGATAAATGTCGAGTACGGTTTCATATAATTATTTTTTATTTTATCGCCTCAAGTAATGGGTATATATCCTAATGAAGTAATTTCTCGTTTCGCAGCATCCCCTGTCAAGTTTGCGATCGCTTCAGAAGATAAAGACCTTGAAACCGCTCCGTTGATCCAGATCACTCAGACTAGCAATTATACTCTATGATTTGTGTCAATTGTTTAAATAGATTGTTAAACTCGAAGCTTTGATAGTTAATTGAAAAGGTTGTAGGTCAAACATCTGGTGTCTGATTACCAGAAGTAGCAAGTGTACAGGACCGGCGTTTGTATGAAATTTCCTACAGATGGAAATTAAAGAAACATGCCTCTGTGAATCGAATTGAAACACTTCATACACACAAGAAGCAGAACACTGTCTCGCAAAGAAGTTAGTCTCATTAGATGACGAAAATTTACTCTAAACATCGCCGGGATGTGACTAGAACAGTGACAGTTTAAGTTTCAACTCGGATGGCGAAACCCGCGTCGAGAGACAGTACTTCAGTTCTGGTACTGGAGAATTACATTCTACAGATTAATTTTCCAACTCTACCTATCAAGTATTAGCAGTAAGAATAAATCCACATTTCTAGTTTCTGATCTCGACATAAAAGATGCCCCTCTGACCTTGACATAAAAAAACCAATATTATCGATGATCATTTTATTTACTCAGTAACTACAGTAACTACAGCCAATACAATTACATCAAAAGCTTCTACAATAACTCTTTTTCTTCAGCATCTTTTGAGTTTAACCCTATTAGTCCAGCATTGCCTTTTGCGCCTCACACAAATTATCAATTCATCACTTGAAACGGGCTGGTTCCCCAACAGTGGGATACATCAGTTGTCAAACCCATACCTAAGAAGCCCTGTACAAAAGTAAATATCCTCAGGATCTTCGCCGAATAAATACTTTCTCAGATGTAAGACTTTGTTGAAGAACAGCATATTCTACCTTCGAACCAGTCAGGCTTCTGTAGAGATCATAGTAGGTTTGTTCTGGTTCTACGAAATTCAGGTTCTAGGACATCAGGATCATGCACAGTTGATGAAGAGCATTCTGGTTTATTGAGGATAATTTCGGATTTATGTGGAAATTTGTTGGGGCTATTTTCTAGGATGTTTTTTTATTTACTTGATTTAAATAATTGATGATTGAGGTTAGATAACATATGAACTGACTACAAGGATACGCTACATAACAAAATGGACATGACCAACAGTATTTTCTCGTCTTCATCTCTACATATATACGATAGGTGGCACAGTGGTCTCCTCAAAATACGTTCTGTCTCAACCAAGTGTCCGAGACTATTTTGGACTGTTTGAGATTTTTTGCTTGTACGCATCATGTCTTGCGCAGTTTCCAAACAGTTTCTGATGTTAGAACCAGAACAACCTAGTACAGTCTCCACATTATGCTCTATGTCAGACAATTTCCTCGAAGCCCTAGACAACCAAGAAGTGGTATCTCTTACCCCATTGGATATGTCGAGGGCTTTTGATACTGTTAACCTTGACTGTCTAATCGCCAAACCCCAATACTATAGGTTTAATGGTCAAATTTCGGACTGGCTCAAAGCCTATCTCTTCAATTGATCACAATTTGTCAGTGTAAATGACCACCTAACAGTATTCGCTTCGGACACCCAAATTGTCAATAATAGCGTACCTCAGGGTTGGGTACTCGCTCCCACTCTTTCTGCTATTTTTGCATCTTGCAGCAGCTAATGGAAGAATGTAATCTGCATATGTTTGCCGAAAACTAATCCCTCTACTGGAACTTTCAGCCTTGTCAAAATGTTGATATGCTGACAAAAATAAACAAAGATCTTACAACCATAAAAAAAAGACCAAGAAAAACTCCCTACTTCTAAACCCCGCAAAAAAACTGTTCAAATTCTCCAAACAATTAGGTGTCGTCGCAAAGACAACCTACCTAAGATGTATAATCTCCAGCGTTGAATTTTATAGTCGGCACCCTTATTCATTTTAACTACCCCTCTCTTCCAGCTTACCTACGAACTCCCTATATAACCTCGACTTCAGATTTGATAATAATAATAATAATGGTCTGTATTGGGTGAAATAGAAAATAACAACCAAGAGGCGAAGTTCAAAACTGCAGTGTAGAACACTACAGGTGTAGAAACTGGTCGTAAAAATAAAATAACTAAAAGAAATTAGACAAAAGTGTTTTCATTCATTTCATTAAAGTGATCATGAATTTCCACAAAATTAGCAAGTCATCAATTACACAGAAATTAATCGAGTCTCAGGCACTTTGCTTTTGGATCAGATCTACTTGAATAATTTCAGCATGTTCCTGCTGCTGGATGAACGAGAAACATCTGTGAGACTGACCTCTGTAAAGTATCTTGCATAAATGTCTGTCAGATATAATTCAATATCTAGCGTGGTATTAGCCGAGGAAGTAGTTGTTTTCCGGTAGGCATTTACCAGAACCTACAGCGTAGGTAGTAGGGAGAAATAAGTATTTGGAAATATTCATTTTATGATTTGGTAATAATAGTAATGGTTATTTGCATAATAAAATAAAATCTTACAAAACAATGTAACACATGTAAAAAACAAACAGAAAAATCACAGAAGTAGTTCAAACTGCCTGTACGTGATATAATGACATATCCAGGTCATATTTGGGTTTTTTATAAATTATATGTAGAAAAAATGACATAATCAGGAGGTAAATGACAAATACTCACTTAGAATTTATCATATGACTAAAAATATTACGTCCCGTCTTGAGAATCCACTCAGTTGAAGAATTTTTGAATTTTCTAAATTTTTCAATATTCTGAATCTCATGAGGTATTTGCTTATATATTCTNTTTTTTCACTTTTAACCCTTACGTACAACCGACCACATCATGCAAACGATCAGATTAACATACCAACATTATTAAAAATACGTAGGACATTGATGCTATCAATATCTGACGCGCTCGAGTATGTCCATGCAACAGTATTTTTTACATATTTAAAAATCTATAGCCGCTTCCCCCACCGATGAACAGGTATATAGTATTTAACATTTTTTCTTCTTATCATCTAAGCTTTGCAACCTAATATGTCTCATTGACGCTCGAGTAAACCCCATTTTGCATCGTAGGCTCCCCTGCTACAAAGACTTGAAAATTTATGTAGCTCAAACAAGGGTTTGGTGGAGCCCCGACTTTTGGAATTGACACCACATGAATCTTATAGCTCTTTTTTGTATAATAAAAAAAGTCTTGAGTTTGCAACATATTCCCCAGAAGGAAATTCCATATCTTAAATAAGAATCAATGATTGACAATTTCAGCAGTATTTCGTGATCTACACAGTCAAAGGCTTCACCAAAGTCACAGAACACTGTTGCTGATGACTATTTTTTATTGACATTTCCATAAACATTGTATGACAAAGAAAAGATAGCATCGTGGGTGGTGTTCTTTTTTGATTGAAAGCTGAAGTGGCTATTGCTTATGTTAATCTTATTTTAACCAGTTTCTCTATTAGCTTGGCTAGTCAGAATGAGACATATAGGGCATACGTTTGATGGATCACTGAGATCACCACCTTTGTGCAATGGGACAAATATAGATTTCTTATGTGGTATTAGGAAGGTTATCAAAAATTAATTTGAAATTTCGCCTATATCAACGGCTTTTTTAAAATTATGAATAATTTCTAAAGTTATCTAAAACAAATTTATCAGTGATACAAATGTTTTTTAAATGAGTCAGCAGATTACATGGATTTGGTATGTTTCTGTTAATTTGTCTGTTATAAAGCAATAGTAATTGTTCAGTTTGTATGCATTTATTGGTATATAAACTTTTTCTTTTCTTTGTTTCCCCCTAGTCATTAATCATGAACCACATCTCTTTTGATTTCCTTCATGTGAAACTTCTAATGGTTAGGTTAGGACCAAAGTGAGTGGGTCTATTGGACCCCCCTCGCAACCCGCAAGGGTTTATTGTGGCTCACACATATTCACACTCGACCAAATAAACCCAGCTTCTTAACGAAGCCGATTAGTTTGTATGGGAGTGGTCTTTCAGGTCAGATGGTAAGAGTACGGCTCTGCCGAAGTCTAAAAACCTGAGTCGGTCCCCTGCGGGGCAGGCACAAAGTATGTGCTCTGATGTTCAATCACTTTCCAAACAGAGGCGGCACAGACTGTCTTCTGACAGTCCGAGTCTTTGCATATGATGATTCAAATGACAGTGACCTGTGAGACATCGTAGTTCATCCCTACTGTAGTCCAACAAGTGTTGCTTCGAAGGCCTTGGAGTGAGCCAATCTTGAAAGATTCTGCCAGAAGTCCATGAATCTTCTTGCCATCCAGGTGTTCAATCTTTGTTTGGCAAAACCTCCTTGACTGTCCGAGAATATTTTTATTGACTTGTATATGAGGTTAGATTCATCCAATTTCTCCGCACACAATTCAATAGCGTAAATTTCTGCTTGAAATATAGTCGCATAGGTTCCTAGGCAGGTTGATATCTCTGTCCTGAGTCTGCTACTGAAAACACCTGCACCAGAACCAGAAGGTGTTTTTTATCCATTTGTGAACCAACAACTATCTGCTCTTAATATTTCCTCCTCCCAGAGGATCCAGTCCTCAACTTCTAATGGTAGTTCAATGTGACCATCTTTGAACCAACAACTATCTGCTTTTAATATTTCCTCCTCCCGGAGGATCCAGTCCTCAACTTCTAATGGTAGTTCAATGTGACACATACTGAATATAATCATCTTACATCTTTTGTTTTCTTGAACACTTGCTTGTTCTCAACAGATTTATTTTTCAGTTTGACATATTCAAGTCTCCCTCCCTTTTCAATAATTACTTTCATTCAAAACCTCTGTTAATATTTGTGCCATCTTTTTGGAATAGTATCTAAAAAAGAAAAATAATGTTCAAAAATGATTTCGAGATGATTTTCGGGTAATTGCTAGTATAGTACGGCATCAATTCAATGAATAACACTTGAAAAATTTTGTTTGGATCGTGAATACATAAATGGGCTCTATTTTTTTTACTCGATGCCTTTTCTATATAGATGTCGAAAAAAACTGTTAAAATCTTGTTTTCCATTAACTAGCTATCACTGTTGATAAATTAGATTATTCAAGTACTTTTCAAAATGTTTCAATCAAAAAATTAAATAATTTTAATCAGACACTGCAATTTTCTTTCAAGAAATTTATTTAATTTACATGTTTCATAAAATCACTTGACACCTTCATATCTATACTGTTCAGCCAAAGTTTAGATGCAGACTTCTTAAACATTTAATACTCGATGAAAATCTGTGACATATTCAGGAAACACTTCATTGCGAGATTTCCTCTAGAGTATAGATACGCCTGAAGAAGCTTTTGCATAGCGAAACGTGTTAGGTTTTTTCAAAACTGTTCAGTGAAAATCTCACAAAGTGTTTGTTGAATTCTTCAACATTAATATAAAAGAAGGTTTTATTATTAAAGCTCCAAATTATATGCTATAGCTGATAATTAACTGTATGTAATTTTAAGATTATTTAGATCGTAATCAGCTTTTAGGACCTGCCTGAGGTATTTGCATAGATGACATAAGTAAATAAATAAATTTTTCTTTTGTTGGGTTTGAGGACTGTTCTGATATGGAATTTTTGCAGAGGAGGTATTATAAACTAGTCTTTATATTTTAGATTGAAGTATGGTATTTTTTCTCCCTCATAATTTCATAACATGAAAACGTTAATGACATCATCAGCATTTCTGAAACGATTTTGCCATTTTATAAAACCTCATGATTCTAATCATTTTTCTCTCCTTTTTTTTTCAGATTCCAGGGAGCAATATTCACCACCAAAAGTTGCCTTGGAAAAAGTTCACTATGACGACCAGCAAGAATTGACGTACGTAGACACTTGACGGCAGCGTATGGAAGTTTATTAGAAAATATTAGTTAATGATAGAAATCAAGTCAGTCGGTAGGTGTGAAAACACCTTAAAATAAAATTGGGATATTCAGGGTAGTAATTTAATAACGATGAAAGGTAGGGCCTGACAAAAAGAAAAGGATGGATCTCACGCAGGAATGTTTTCCTACGATCCTAAGATTGAGAATCTCATTTTAAATTTTCCTTTTCATGTTCAGTTTGACCCTAATCATATAACTGAATTTGTTAAAGAATAAAGTTTTAGTCAGTCGGATTTCATCGAAATGATTCATATCTCTCCATTCAAATATCGTACTCATTTCAATTTCCTTGAAATATATTCATACCGTGGAGGTAGTGATAACGGACTATTGAAATTTTTGGGGGTTGCCTCGTTAACAGGCAGATGGGGCGATGACAAACATGGTTGTCGTTTGCTTCAGCCTAGTTCGAAGAATGATACTCTGAAGGAATTCGATTTTTTCAATTATCAAAAAATTATTGACTTTATGTTGATGATAGACGACACTACCTTGCACTGACGAGTGGCCAAACAGCCCGAAACCAGGGAAGTAGTTGTTTTCTGGTAGGTGACAGTCCATTAACCTATAGTGTAGCTTTTGAAGCTTTCTAAAACCATGTTTTCGAGAAGTCAGCTTCAAAGTGAAAAAAATGTTGAGAGTATTAGTTTTTGAATGCTTGCAAGAGATTCAAAACGAGCACTTTTGGCAAACACTAGAACTGCAATTTACTATTCTCGACGTGCCTTTCACCAACCAACAGGTTATACTTTCACTTTTCGATACACATCAATGAGTTCGAGTAGAAATTTGCGAGAAAGTATCTCGCGAAAGTTTCCCCTAATTTTGACAGATTGATTCATAAAGAGGTAAACAAATGGCTGTTTGGGAGGCGACCTTGGGTCTCCGATATCGGATATGCGCCGCGTGTTCTTTGAAACTAGTTTCAATGGCTCACTTAGTCAGACCGATATATTTTTTGTTAGTTCTCACAGCTTATTTCATATATTCACGACTTTCTATTATCCAAAAATAATCCGAAAGGAATTTTGTGAAAAGTTGTAATGGCCCTCGAATAAAATAGTAGTTTACTAAGAATTCTCTCAGACTGAAACATTTGGGGGGATATGAAATAAATATCTCTATTCAATCATGTATTTTGTTCATGCATTTCTTCCTAGACACAGTCTCAAAAAAACTATCTGCTCAATACTATTTTCAAAACAGACTATACATTCCTTTTTGTTCTTTTTGAAAAACAAATTCGGAAATTTCATGAGATACATCGTCAGACTCAGTCCTAGAAACCTGTGTCCGAGTGTAAAAAACCTAAATCAATTTGCCTGTTTGAAATTTTTCACAAAAAACTATTGTTTGCTTAATAGACCAATAGTGATTGTCACTTAAAACAGGTGTCTTGATTGATAAACCAAAGAAACGAATATTTATATTCATTTGAATGCCAGTGTGAGGTACTTACTTGAAATTGTTTGCAATAGTTGCGCAACTTTGAAAGATAATGCGAGACTAACTTATTGTATTATGTAGACCATCTCTTTCAATTTTACTGATAAGATAATTGTTATTCCTAATCATAATTTGTTGAAACAAAATCCTCGACTTAACTGATAAAGGAGATCTTGGTATTCAGTTTTTGTGAGACTATAAAATATTTCCACACTATTATTTACTATTTATTACGGAATTTGTTTATTCAAATATAAAACGAAATAATGGTGTTTATGGAAGTTCTACTTTAGGTCTTCAAATATTTGGTTTTTATTTGAATTACTTTGTTGCACTATCTTTAGAGATTAATATTTATCAAATGTTGACTTTTATGGAAAACTACTCAAATGTTGAAAGGGGCTTGATACTTTTTTGATTGCCAGTTTTGAAATTTTAATTATTTTGTTAATGATTCTGTTACTAAATAAACTTTTTTTTCAACATGACAAGTTCTTTCTATCCCTTTGACTTTTGAAAACCTGCTATAGGTAAGTATGAGAGACGACGGTATCTTCCTTCATTTTTNATCTATTACTATTTGTGGAAAAATTGAATGTGTTCACAGAACACATGTATTCTGTGTCACGATTCAATTAAAATATAAAATTAGTTCCTGATTCAAGTCCTTGCACATAACACAAATAATAGTTGTAATGAATAGAACAACTCGCTCCAAACAAAACTAACTATTCTTACTAATCGAAACACATGTCGAGGTGTTAAAAATAACGATTTGGTGTTGGGAAAAAACTCCAGTAATATTCATTACTACACCAAAGGTTCCAAACAGTACATCATAAGCTCTTCTTACTAGCCACAAACTACCTTTAGCCAAAGAAATATATATTTACAATTTTCATTATAAACTAGAAATTGGTTAATGCAGTTGGAACAACTATTAAGTGTGACAATACTGTAAAAAAAGCGTGTTTTCATAAAAAAATATGAATAGAGGTTATGTACTTCTTTGGTGAGAATGACATACTTTCAAAAGCACCCAGCCGTAACTAATGACAGTTGATGTCAAAATTGAAGTACCTCCTTCCACTACCTCATCTATTCTTTCATTGAAGATAGCTTTATTATTTCAATATTTGAAACACATTACTTCATAGGCAAAATTATTTGAAAGAGATAATAGAATGTTTTCAAACAAATTGAAATAATTTTAAATTAAAATATATCTTGTATCCTGATGAATTGTGAAAAATGTCACTTTTATAACTTGTTGTATCTCAAAAATTTGTTAACCGACTTGATGTGCCTAAAAAAAGTAAAAATAATCTATCATAAAATGATTTGTGGGAATTAAAAGCCGTTTGGTATAAGACTAGACTGACACTTTATTTAAATTTTTTCAACTTAAGCAAATGATTTCTTAACGATATCTGCTTATCTTTATAACTTTTATTCTGTTTCCTCTTAACTTTATGTCTGATCATTCCGAAATTCTTATTTTTCCTTTTTTCCCTGTTCGTAGTCGAACAATTCTCATTCATCCTCCCATCTTTATAACCAAACTTTTCCCGATCCACTTGTCCCTTCTTAACACTTTCGATCCTTGTTTGTTTATCGTGCTTTCGTTTCTTGTAAATATTTTCGATATCGCTCAACTTGACCAGTTCAGAAGGAGCACTTACAAGTGTTTCTTCCAACTTCCTTTTCAGTCCTTTCTTCGAGCTGAAGACTTGCTTTTTGGCATTCGCCATATCTATTCGTCTGAACTCTTCGTCGGTCAAGAGCCGCTCCAAAGTTACCTTTTGCGCTTGATCTCTCTTCAATTTTTTGGCTTCCAACTTTTGTTTGGCCTTGAGTATCTGTTTCTTACCTTTTTTATTCTTTTCCTTTGATTTATCTTCACTTCCGCCCCCCTCCTCACCTTCTTTCTTGGCCTCAGCTACCGGGATTACTTGGCCAGAGACTTCACTTTTTTTTTCTTTGCCCCCTTCCTCTTCCTCCATCTCTTCCTCCTCTTCGATTTCCTCCTCTTCATCATCTTCCTCTTCCACGCCATCATCTTCATCATCACCATCTTCATCTTCCAGACCATCATCCGAATGCTGAACGTCAATCCATTCCTCATCATCAGAACCCGACTCAGAATTGATTTCAATGTTCTCACTTTTATTTTCGAGCAGAACCTCTGCTCCCGGTAAATAATCTTTGGCAGTAATTTTTCCATAATCTAGAGGGTCAAGTTCTTCAATCGCTTCTGTTGGACGACCTCTATCTTTCTTGTGCAGGAGCTCTGGTCTCGACGTTCTGAAAAGTTGTATCAAAGATCTAGACGCCATCATGACAGAACGATCCCTGTACGTTTTATACTGAGCCAGATCCTGCATCAGGTCTTCCGTCATTGCTAAGGGACATCTGGAGCAGATTTCTCTGACGGCATTCAGTCCAATGGCTATCACGTCTGAAGAGTTGCGTTCTGTTATGAAATTGTTGGCCATGGTCTTCAATACAGGTTCAATGACATCTGGTGGTACTAATTCGTGACTGGCTTGGGCTGCGAACTGAAGAATTCTGGTCACTTCTCTCTGGTGGGGCTGCATGAATCTTTGAATGTAAGAGTAATAGTTGAAAAGGAAGAGTTCGTGTATTCCTATCAAGCGAGAGATCACATCCAGGGTTATCAACTTCACTTCGAACCGTTTGGTGGTGGTCTCTAGTTGTCTGAATAGTTTTTCAGCCATGCCTATGCAGAAAAATATGTTATTTCAATAGAAAACATTCCATAGTCTGATTCAACAAAAAGTTTTTCTGTGGTTGCTTAACATTGAACTAGAGAAGAAAAAAAGAAAAGTCTGTGGTGGGGGAATGGGAGCCTAAAATTCTCAATATATTTTCATTTCTCCCACACTTTTTCATTNACAAAATTACAAAAGATTTATAAGATACAAAATTTGAATACAACACGTCACATACACATATAAGTAGAGAGTTGTCCAATGATTTTATTGGACCCCACGGGACATATTTCCGTGTATCCTTTCCGAAGCTCTGCTCTATCAGATATATTCCTCACAGTCGTAGGGGGCTGTGGAGAAACAATCTTTAGAGTCGTAGGGGGCTGTAGAGAATCAATCATTCCTCAGAGCCGTAGGGGACTGTGTAGCATGATTAAGTTGTTAGAAACGCAAGTTTCTAAATGCATAAAATGGATGTTCCATTTACCGTAATTGGGGTACTGCAAAGTTTTCCCCAGTTCGTTAGTAGAAGCTGTGATGCTTCTGGAAATCTGGTTCGCAGAGAGTTGATAAGATAAAATTCAACATACACTTTTAAAATATTCATCTATAGTATAAGGCTCTATATTGCATAAAAATTCTTTCACAGACTTCAGAAAACCGCTGGCCAACCCAATGTCTCTTATATACGCTGGGAGAGAATTAAAAAATGTAATCGCACTGTAGACAGTACTTCTTTCATATAGAGATTTAAACCGCATATTGCAAATATTACTTCTAAAACACTAAAAATGTTAGGTTTCATTCCTAGATTTGAAAATGAATCATCTCTCACTTTAATAAAAATCATATATTGCTCAATTGTTAGATCAATAATTGAATACAATTCCACAATTTGATGCCCTTCATATCATGTGGATATCGATATGCTTGAAAGTGTTCAAAATAAGTTTTTAAGGTACTCTGCATATAAACTGGGATATCATATTGGTGAATATGACTATAAAATTATATTGGACATTCTCAACTTGAATACTCTGGCTCATAGAAGATTAGAATCAGATCTTACACTAATTCATAAAATAATCAATGGTAGCATCAATTCCCCGGAACTTGTCGAACTTATAACTTTAAATGTGAATCCAAGGAGAACAAGAAATTCGGAAATCTTCAAAGTACCCTTTTGTCGCACCAATTGTGGCCGGAATGAATATGCAGGTAGAATTTTGAGACTTGCAAAAACATACAATTTAGATAGTATGTTTTTGTTAATTTGTCTTTTATAAAGCAATAGTAATTGTTCAGTTTGTCTGCGTTTATTAGTATATAGCTTTTTCTTTTCTTTGTTTCCCCATAGTCATTATTCATGAAGCACATCTCTTTTGATTTCCTTCATGTGAAACTTCTAATGGTTAGGTTAGGACCAAAGTGAGTGGGTCTATTCGACCCCCTACCGCAACCCGCAAGGGTTTATTGTGGCTCACACCTATTCACATTCGACACCATACAAACTAATCGGCTTATTAACGAAGCCGATTAATTTGTATGGTGAGTGGTCTTTCAGGTCAGATGGTAAGAGTACGGCTCTGCTGAAGTCTGAAACCCTGATTCGGTCCCCAGCGGGGCAGGCACAAAGTATGTGCTCTGTTGTTTCATCACTTTCCAAACAGAGGCGACACACACACTGTCTTCCGACAGTCCAAGTCTCTGCATATGATGATTCAAATAACAGTGTCCTGTGAGACATCGTAGTTCATCCCTACTGTAGTCCAACAAGTGTTGCTTCGAAGGGTGAATAAACGCCTTGGAGTGAGCCAATCTTGGAAGATTCTGCCAGAAGTCCATAAATCTTCTTGCCATCCAGGTGTTCAGTCTTTGTTTGCAAAACGTCCTTGACTGTCCGAGAATATTTTTATTGACTTGTATATGAGGTTGGATTCATCCAATTTCTCCGCACACAATTCAATAGCGTAAATTTCTGCTTGAAATATATTCGCATAGGTTCCTAGGCAGGTTGATATCTCTGTCCTGAGTCTGCTACTGAAAACATCTGCACCAGAACCGGAAGGTGTTTTTGATCCATTTGTGAACCAAAAACTATCTGCTCTTAATATTTCCTCCTCCCGGAGGATCCAGTCCTCAACTTCTAATGGTAGTTCAATGTGACACACACTGAATATAATCACCTTACATCTTTTGTTTTCTTGAACACTTGCTTGTTCTCAACAGATTTATTTTTCAGTTTGACATATTCAGGTCTCCCTCCATTTTCAATAATTTCTTTCATTCAAAACCTCTGTTAATAGTTGTGCCATCTTTTTGGAATAGTATCTAAAAAAGAAAAATAATGTTCAGAAATGGTTTCGAAATGATTTTAATGTATTTTTCTCAAAAACTTATTTTCGTATACTATGTACCTTTTTTCATCGAACACCACATATATTGAATTTCTCAATTTAAATTAAGTTCCTACCTTGTGGATCATGAATTAAATGTATGGCAGAAAAATTAAAGACAGGTGCTTCAGATTTCTTCTTGTATGCCTTAGAAGCCAATTTTTTCACTTTGCTCAGTTGCTTTTCTCTTTTTCTAGTTTTCTTGTTGACCTTATTCGCCATGATTACTTCCTTTGGGTCCACTTCATTGTCAGAATCAGAGTCATCTGAATTTTTCTCATCAGGATCTTTACCCAAAAAAAATTTCATTGAAGCCACCATAACCTTGAAGCAATTTGAATTTGATTTTATAAAAATTAATAACAAACTTCATCTCATTAAAATGATTTATAGAATACAGTGCTAAAATTATAAACAAATCCAAAAATTAATATGTATAGCTGTGAATAAATTACTGATTACATTGCCAATTTGTTTGTCTTGAATGTTCATTAGATTTTTAGATATAAACTACCTTTTCAAAAGTAGATATTTTATGAAGTTAGAAATAAAGAGAAAATTTAAAAAAAGTCCCATATGATGGAGACTTAATTGGTCACACTGTGTGTATAACAGTTGAGATATCATTTGACTTGATAGTTCTCTGGCAGTATACTGGATAATGAAGTTTCTGACTTTGTGAGTCGTTTTCCAGAAATAAAAAGTTTCATGCAGCATTTTCAAATTTGATTTTGGAGAGAGATATTGACATGTTGTCAAATAGATTGCAAAAAAAAATAATCTTGTATTGCTTGCTTTCATTTTCAATTTCATCAAAAGATGAATGAAACCCCAATCAATTAGGTAATAAGGTGGTTGACAAATCAACATACATACCTTGGCAAATTTCGAAAAACATCCTGTTGCAATTACATTCACTGTTTTGGCATCATTCCAAATATTCTTCTTGTACAACTCGATCATTATATCAATAGACATTTTCGCAGCTCTATTTGAATCTTTCATCATGGTGAATATAAAATTCTGCAATGTGGAATTCAACTTTGCATTCTTGTGTTTAGCATTCAAGTTTTTTATATCCGTGATGATGTGGTTCTGTAAAAAGGATCTCAATGCCTTGTCCTGGCATCGAAGAAGTTGAAAAAACAGTTCCAACAAATCAGTGGGTGCGAGGAGATTTTTGTTACGGAGTAAAATCAAAGCTCGGCAGAAGGCCATTCGCATATTGTTGTCCAGTACAGTGTTATGAGTTCGCAATACCTCTATCAATTGTTGGGGAAACTCTTTCAGTTCCTTGGGGTAACAATGAGCTACTTGGGCCATAAACATAACCAAATCGTCCAAAGTTTTATTGTGCTGCTCAGGATAGAGCTGAAATGCTTCCAAAGTATTGAGGAAATGCGTAAACTGGGACATGAACTCTTCATGATATGAGGCAGGATCTCTCTTGATAAGATTTTGAAGTTGTGGAATATTGAATTCCAGTTGATTGTTATGGCCAACCATTTTCGGTGTTCTGTAATTGTGTATATACTAATGTTCATAGACTGTTACTTAATACTATACACTTTTATTATTAACTGTTACACAATTCTTTTGGTTCCATAGAAATACATATGGATTGAATGTGCTCTCACAGACCCAGAATTTCTCTGGGAGAAACTTACCGTTTTTTAGGTTGCTACGTTATTTATGGAATTTGTCGGTCGTTGATATATATGTTGTATCGTTGAATATATAACACGTGTCACCCTTTTTCGTTGCATTCATTAGCACTTTCAGTTTTCGTTTTCAATGTGTTGTTTTTGCTTTCAGTGAAAGCAAAAAGAGGTTAATTTATTCGTATGAGAAGAAGATTTTCGGCGTCATGGGTTCCGTTACTAGATATGTGTCCAAACTGTTATTTTTTTTTAAGTTTTGACGTCCAGTTAAGTGAACTCCTGGACTCAAACACTTCATGCCTGATGATTCATTACACTCAAATGATTCAGTACTACCAGAGATATTCGGAGTAGCCTGTGTAATCAAATACGTTCCCGAAAATTAATATTATAATTTATAGACTCATATCACCCATGTTATATCCATGTTATCGACGGTCACTCTACTTTTCAGAAGTATAGTAAAATTTATTCAAGCTCCAATAAGGAAACAAATTATAAGAGAAAGAACGGTAATGAGAAGTTTAGCAAGTTAAAAAATAGTGCCCAGCTAACATGGCTGTATCTTACTGCAGATGTGAAATATCGCTTTGAGATGTCAAAAGAAAAAGTTCAAGTGAGGTACTTTTGACATACTTATAATTATATCGTGGCTATATTATAATGTGATATCAGTGAAACGTAACACTACGATATCAAAAAAATAAGTGTTACACGATGTCGAGAAAACATATATCTGTAATATTTTCACAACACCCTACTTCAGATATCACATCAACCTTCTACAAGAATGTCTCTTTGATATTTAATTTTATTTTGAAATAATTAAAATTGGAATCCAATGATCGTAATGATTCAGTTCAGATACCAAGAATTTATTTATTGCACGTATTCTTTGTCAACCGCTTTTGCTTCATTCTACAATTGAAAATCCAGTATATTGTGTTCGTAGTTCGTATAAGTTGGTCTTAATGATATTGAATTATTTTTATAACGAGTGATCGATAAATTGTTTTCAATGCCCGTATAAACTTGAAATCTGATTAAGTATTCTTCTTCTTCTTCTTCTTATGGCTCTGCCTTTTCGGCAATTTGCCAGTGATTAAGTATTAACATCAAATTCCTCACGATAGTTTTGAATCATCATGAATACGTTTCAAATCATAGTTGATGTGACGTCACCGTTTCAACGCCAGAATGAATGTATTTGAATCGCAGACAAATACGTTTTGAATACATGAGCACCAGAAAACGCCTCATAGTAGTGTCTCTGTCTTTCTAATGCTCCTTGATAGTTGTGAGTCTATAGTCAAACAAAAATCATGAATTGTTTGCCCTAACATATTAGGACATTAGAAGAGAAGAAAATAAGAAGAAGTAACCTCATGTCAAAGTTAGGATTTTCCGTTCTCAGTTCTCTTTTTCATACTTCACTTCCAAGTCAAAATGGTGGTGACTTGTGATGAATAGATAAAGTTTCAGGGTGTTGTAGCCGTTTATATCGTAAATCTAATATGAAATAAGTGCCCATATGTTTATATTACTCAAGATAGATCAAACCATTGGAGAAACATACCAAGACCTTATAATTGATAAACCAGTTGTTGTTACCAGACGCAAATAATTTTTTCTGTTTTTTATTCACGCTAGACTTTGTTGGTAAACATGTCGACCTTATTATGTAAAAATTCTGTTTTAAGAATCTATCAAGAAGTTATGGAAGATGTAATTTCGGGTGTAAGAGAAGTTTTCCTGGAAGATGGAGTGGATGAACAAGTATTGCAAGAACTAAAACAGACTTGGGAAACAAAGTTGATGAGCACAAAAGCCGTGCAAGAAGAACAGGTTGAAAAGAAAAAAGTGGAACATAATGGCTTTCCAAAAGTCGTTAACAACCCTGTTCAGCAAACTGTTAGCTCTCAACCGTCTCAGCAGCCACATCCCCAGCAGTTGCTGCAGCAGCACATCCAACACGACAAACTGGTATATGTAATGCTATTTTGAATAAATTAATAATCAAACAGACAGGGTAGATACTTGCGCTAGTTTTTGAAAATTTTTTATTTCACTTACATATTTTTGTTTTGTGATATGAATCTGAATTCAAAACTTAGTGAACTACTTTACTCTCTGAGATAAGGCCTCCACTTTAAGTAAATGTTTCTCCTCTTGATTTATTTTTGTTGAGGTGTCTAAATTGTGAAATTTTTAGAATACAACCAGATTATTCAGAAGGTGATTCTTTTGAACACTAGTTTGAATCGATGAATAAGTAAGCACCAACAAATTTAAATTTCAATATGTTTCACAAAACTATTGAGCCTTATTCAAGATCCTAAAGACAACATGTAGAACATTTAAAGTTTTGATGTTCCCTTATAAATATCATGATTTTACTGCCTTAATCGTTCTGAGTACTATCTGAAATGGCATGTCGGTGTCTTATCAACTGATTTCAGGTTCCAATTCAAATCACCTTACCTCCGCAGCCCGGATCCGATGGACTTCAGCGAATCCTTACAATCCAGGTGCCTGCATCTGCCCTACAAGGCAATCAGTTGCAGAAAGTACTCACAGGCCCTGTGATAACTGCAACTATGGGGTTACCCTCAAATATTGCATCTTCACTTCTGCAGCAACACGTAAATGCTGCTTTCAATAGCCATCAGCAAGCTACGGTAACCACAATTGTAAATAAAAATGTCATTCAGACAGACGGAGCTGCAGATCAAGACGATCTTGATTTTACAAGTGCATGCAGTTCAAAAGGAAACTGTGAAGAACCATCAGATAGGAAACAGACTGATGAAGCGGGATGCCTCGTTAGAGATGAGGAGGGCTTATGTATAGAAGTAATTTTTCCCAAAATTAGAAGAAGAAAAGGTACGAACTCAATAGTCGCATATTGTTAATTTGTTTTTTTTGAATATCTTGATAAGTACAAAAAACGTGAGATTTTCATTAGCACCTTTATTTTTTAGAAACTACACAGTGTGACAACAAAATTATTGTAGGGGTAGGAACCAAAATATTTTTACGGAACTAAATTCTCGTTCCGCATTTCAAATTTCTTATCATAGAAACAACTGAATAGTATGAAAGCATAAGTAGGCCACATATTTTTATTATTTGTTTCTTGGAAATCACGACGTTGAAACTCGAAATGAAACTACTAAATGAAGATGATCTCACAATTTACTAAATAAAAAATAAAAACAATTTTTACTTATTTGTAATATTTAAAACTCATTCATTTCAGCCAAAAAATATACATCTTTGAATCAGGCAGATGGTCCTAATGACACATCTGATGATGACGAAGATGGTTCAGATGATGAGAATGATGATGATGATCTGGATGACGACAGAGATGAAGATGATCAAGAAATGGAAGATGAAGGCAAGTTATTTATGTTATTTCCATTCAGTGCTGGTAAACCATTATAACTTTTGATTGCAGATAATGAAAGTGATTTTGTTGAATTGACCAAATTTTCATACAACTTTGAGTTTTCTGTGTTAATCTTGTTGATGAACTGTCTCTTTTTTACTTTTAATCTCTTTCTCTTTCCTCCTCTCTCTTTTTCTCTCTCTTTCTCCTTGTAATCTGTCTCTCTCTCTTTCTCAATACTCTCTCAATCTTTCTGTTTATTTTTCAATCTCTCTCTTAATCTCCCTCTCTCGCTTGATACCCCTTTCACTTCTCTCATTCTGAAAACCTCTTTTAATCTCACACTCTCTCAATCTCAATACTCCACTCATTCTCGATACCTCTCTTACTCACAATGTCTGTCTCTCAATCGCCTTCTCTCTTAATCTCCCCCCTGTTGATATTTTTCTTATCTCCTCTCTCTCTCAATCCCTCTACCTTGATTTCTCTCTTTCAATCTCTCTAGTTATAATTTTGATGTACTTCATAATGTACTTTGCCTATTCAGCCTTTGCTACAGTTTTTTTATGAACATGTCTTGAAACCCTATCGGTTAGTTGCACGAATAAATATTTATCTAGTCATGTAATAATTAATGATTTGTCCTTTTCCTAATATATTTTTTGTTTTTTCCCAGGCGGCGAGGAAGAACCTCTAAATTCAGAGGACGATGTCACTGACGATGATCCCACTGATCTATTTGACACCGACAACATTGTTGTGTGCCAATATGATAAAATCATAAGAAATCGCAACCGATGGAAATTTTACTTGAAGGACGGGATTATGAATTTGAAGGGTGCCGATTACGTCTTCCAAAAAGCAACCGGAGACGCAGAATGGTGAAATTATTTATATTGTAAAGACTGTTTGGTTTTTATTGAAAAAGTGTACCTGTTTCAATATTCAGTGATATGTTTATCAAGCGTTTGTTTTTGTGCTTTAGTATACGGTGAGTCTCAAGAAAGTTTTCTACAGATGGAAAGCTTTTAATTATTGCTTTGTCAGTATTTTTTTTCTGATGATAAATTCGTCGTCATGTGAAATCTGAAGAGGAGCCTATGATGGTACAGGAAGAATGAAAAATTTCAAATATGGTGGTGATTTTCGAAGACGGGGAAAAAATTTAATTTCAAATAGATGTTTGAAATGTGTATATTTCTACAATAATTATGGGCTATCCCTTAAGGACTAGAAAAATATTTTTGGCAAAGGAAACTATGATATATTGAAGAAATAAATTTTATTCAAAAAAACTATGGTGAAGTCCTCATTTCAAATCACAGATTTCAAAATATTTGTCTGTCTCTGTATGATGAGATACATTTTGATTTCAAGAGTAATAACTGAAATGATAATGATGTTTTTCGTTTGTAGACATCAGTTTGAGGCTCACCGTATATACATAGACATGAACCTGCTGGCAGGCGGCAAATTTTGAATATGTCTTTTGCCAGTCGAACCCAGAAAATATCAAACCTGTTCTACCAGATGTAGATGTCTCATGTTTTCATATTTTGACAGAGTTGGAAAATATTTCGTGTTCGTGGAAAAAAATCAACATTTTTATTTTCTATTAGTTGGAATGGGTGTTAGATTTGATTAACTGGAACAACCAATGAAAATTTCCAATGTCTTTCACAGTTATTTCGTTTTATCCCTTGTAAATAATTAATATACAGGTCTCACAAGAAATTCTGAGTTTGCTGGATATACTATCTCAAAATTTACCAAGTCATTTCATAAACGTGCTGATGATTTTATTTTAGGTTTCGGAGTTCCATTATTTTTATTAAAATACGATACTGGGTACTAGAGCACACAACTCGACGGGGTTCTGTCATTGGTTCCATCCTAGTTTTTGTTTGTGCAACCTTGGGGAAACTAAAACTTGCTAGTTTCAACTCCCATTTAATCATAATGGTAGTGAGTCATGTAACATTGATTACTATCCGATATCCGGCTTATCTGGCGGCCTACATACTATCCGACTGCGAGTTTGACTGAATATTCGTCTAAACTGCTATTCGTTTCATCTCTAATTATAACTCCTGTAGGCTTATAATTGTAGATTGTCGATGTGTCGAGAGAACAAAGCTGCACAATTTGTATTTCCTTTCTGTTTGGTGCTGACCTCTCTTGTACAAATGTAGAACTTTTTCACAAAATTTTAGTAGTTCTTTATGAGGACCAGAGAGGGTGGCACCAATAACTGAAACATGAAATGTTCACTTCTTATTTTCGAATACAAACCAAGAATAGGTTTGAATAATGAATAATCTTCATCTGATAACGTGATAGCTCATAACCATTATTTTTCCAAATCACCGGTTATAAATTTATTGATGGAAGTAGATTGGCCAATATGATGTGAATTAAATTCTAGGTCCTTGAAAATTATGAGACTCACATTTTTTGTATACAGATGGAAAAGTCGAAAGCTGAAACCTTTCCCAAATATCAATCTCTCCTGAAAATATATTCCTTTCAATTTATAGCGGAATTCGTTATAACAATGGCTATCACAGTTAAAAAAAAACGTTTGCCCGTATTTACACAAATAAAGTTGATGATGGAATCAAATGAACAAAACTTCAATTCGCGATTTGGTTTGTAGCAGATTATAACAAATATGAAACAGTTTTGAAAGTTCAGGACTTATTCACTGTTACATTTTTTAGTGAATAGGGTTGAAATTGGTCGAATTTGAATTTCTGAGGTTTCTCAAAAGAAAAAACTAGATTGGGACCATTGAGATAACTCCACAGATTGATTCAACTGATGATAATATGGTTATTTTGTCTTATTATTTTGATCGTAGATTTTAATGTACACTGTATTTATTTCATGATCTTTCATATAAAAATGTCCAGTCAAATTTCATATTATAAATTCATCTTCTACATCTACTTTTGAACCCTTATTCATCGAAAAAAATTTGAAAAGTCGAGTTATTCCAGAGTTATACTTGGTGTTTGGAAAAAGTCTTCAATTTATAAATTCTGGTGTTTCATTCCATTGATAGATTGAGGCAAGTGTTGAGTTGTTAGGTTATAGACATGAAACAAAATGAAAGCAAATTGTTCACTTATATTTTGTAATTTTATCAAAAATTGTCATTAACCATTACTGTCACTGTCAAAACTATTTTTCGGGTTTTTGCTTCACGTTTCGTCTACTACTGCGGTAGACAATATCAAAGGCGATGAGGTAACAGTTGAAGTGCTCGAGTTGTTGTTCCTAACACAGAAGCTACAACGCTGGTATTTGACTCCGGTTTCAAATTATCATAGATGGGCGTGGCTTGGTTTCTCTTAATTGGATTACCTGACCTTGTTCGTGTATCTTTAAGTACAGGCAGCCAGATTTTATGAATGTTCATTACCTCTTACTTTCTATTGAAATCATCCCTGTTTCTGAATGTTTATTGCCTCTCTTAGATTGTTGTATAGTTTTATCGAGTATAACTGTATCTTCGAAGGAGATAAAAGTGAGTGCCTTCTGTTTAGACAGCATGTTCGGCTACAGCCGATTCGTCGGTTTGTCAGAGGCGACAAGTGCTCTTGTGTTCAGAGAGACGGGTACCTATATTTCTTTTCGTGGTTCCAATGTAGAGTGACCCACAGCAACAAGGAATCCGGTATATGCTGCTAAAGATTCTCTGGGGTCCTGGGGCCCTGATAGTTTTCGTTGGCCTTAAAATTGGTTTCACGTCGTGTTTCTTTAATATTTTCCTAATCCAGGGTATACTAGCTTCGAGAACAATAACTCGAGTACTTCGACCGTTACCTCATCACCTTTGATAATGTATACCGCAGTAGTAGACGAAACGGCAGGATCACTAAAAATGAATAAAACGTTTGTTATTTTTTGGATTTCACCCTTCCTTTTGATAATGTGAAACCCCTAAAAAGATGCTTCACTCGACCGTGCAATTTTATGGTTGAAAAATTCGTTGGCATGATTGTAAACATCATCCGCATGCTATTATTGGAACAGGTTCACAATTTTCATCATGTAAGTTACTAGATGTAAATGACGTACATCCCAATTTACTGTTAGTCAATGGGAACAGTATCTTTTATTTATTTTGTATATACTCTTTCTTGCTTCTAGAGTCTACTTAAATTTGTACTTTAACCTTCATATGAAATAGATAAAGCAACAGTTTTGAAGTTTTTTATTTTTTAGCTCAAGTGTCAGGTAATTTCTGAACTCTCAAACTTTTTTGATGAAATGAGAAACCTTCCTTTAGTTTTTGAATGAAGTATTTGAACTAATAATAATATATATNTATCATGCCCAATTACACTCAACAATCTCATATAGTATAGTAGCTTGGGGCCTATCACGTGAGGCACAAAGGCTATTTATTTTACAGAAGAGAGCTGTCAGAAACATTCAGAGTGTAAATAGATGTACTAGCTGCAGAGATCTATTCAAAGTTTTAAGAATATTAACTCTCCCATGCTTTTATATGTACCAGCTGTTGACAAACAGCTTAAACAAAAATAATAATGTATTTTTCTCAAAAACTTGTTTTCGTATACTATGTACCTTTTTTCATCGAACACCACATATATTGAATTTCTCAATTTAAATTAAGTTCCTACCTTGTGGATCATGAATTAAATTGAGTTAACAATATCAAAAAATTTTAGTTATTGCTTTACTTTAGAAAATTCATTTTAGAAATGCCAAGGTCGGGAACGGACAAGAGGCTAATGAGATGAATAAGTCTTCAGTCATTTTTTTAAAGTTTACGATGGTGTATGATCAAAATTCGCAGGATAGTTGATTATAATATTTGGGTGCATTATACGAGAATCAGCGGGTGAAAATGGAAGATTTGTGGTTGGGGATGACTAGAACTGAACTGTTCCTTGTAGTAAAGCTGTTAATCGTAGAGAATGTATATTCTGTTTTAATCTTCCTTTTCGAAAATGATCACTTGGTGATCGAAACACTTGTCGAGGTGTTAAAAATAACGATACGATGTTGGGAAAAAACTCCAGTAATATTCATTACTACACCAAAGGTTCCAAATAGTGCATCATACGTAGAGAATGTTTTAAGCTTCTTCAGTAAGTAATCAGGTTGTCGAATTATCAAAACTTTATGTGTGTTGGTAAGAAGGTGTAGAGTTCTAAGTTTCTCAACATTAAACCATCCTGATTCTTGCATTGCTGGGGATATATGGTCATATTTCCGAATACCAAACGAGAAACGTAGACAGCTATTCTGAATACGCTGTAATCGGAGAGCATCCGATTGTTTTAAAGCAGATCCATAAATACTGTCGCAATAGGAAAATTTGACATAATCAGAGACTCGCATAGTCTAAGTTTTAAGTTTGTGTTGAGCCAATCACGATTAGGAAAAAGCTGTCTGAGAACGTTATAAGAAGATTAGTTCAGATAGCTGACATGTTTAGTAAAGCGAAGATTCAGATCAAACCACAGTCCTAAATTTATCTCGTCCACGGAGGGAAGTATATCGTTTTCGATGCGAACTTGAAAGGTAGAGTTGGTGAGCTCTTTGTTCTTCTTAGCTCCGAACATCAATCATTATTGCGGATTTATCTGAATTGAGCTTGAGCTTATGGGCAGTAGAAATGTCAAAGATGGCTTGGAGATCGTTATTAATATGCGACAGAGCAGATGTAGACTCGCCAGGCGAAAAAGAGAAATATAACTGCGTGTCTGCATAGTGATGTATATTGCATTTATTCACGGACAGATAAAAGTCACAAATATACAAGCTAAAAAGCAAGGGCCCAAGGATAGATCCTTGTGGCACTCCCTTCAATACCGGCAGAGCATCTGAAATAACTTCATCCACAACAACTCTTTGAGTACGATTCTTCAGATAGTTTTCTAAGAGAGACACTGCTTTCCGAGAAAAACCGAAGTGGACAAGTTTGTCACACAATATCTCATGATCTCGAGTGTCAAATGCCTTGCTGTAATCTAGAAGTATTAAACAGGTCAAATTTTGTTCATCTGCAGCTTGAAAAATATCGTCAGTAATTGACAGAAGAGCTGTGGTGGTACTATGCTGAGGTCTGAATCCTGATTGAACAGATGTTATAATGTGATTTTCATTGACGTACTCATTAATCTGATTTTTTCAGAATCGATTCCACTACTTTAGAGAGATACGGTAGAATTGTAATTGGTCTTAGGTCAGAAAGGACAGTAGGTGAGTTATACTTAGCCAGAGGGATAACCAATCCATCCTTCCAACATTTTGGAAATTGGCAACTGGTAATGATAAAGTTTATGAGAAAGGTGAAGTGATTTATCAAAAAAGAGTCAATGAGAATGATCATTTTGAGGGATATCCCGTCAGTACCTAAAGCGTTGCTCCTGATGTGTCTTGGGAACTTCGCACAATCTCACAGGTGACTGAGGTACAGTTCTCATTATAAAACTGGTCTAGAACTTATTGAATGTCGCTGGGAAAAGTGTATAGAGCTGCTAGGAGATAATGCTGAAAAATGAATAAATTTTTTCCAAAATTTTTGTGTTTTCTTTGCTGGGCCGGGTACTCCTGGACCACCTTCATATTTTTCAATGAAACTTATCGTAATAGCTTTGATTTTAATATAAAAACTGCGGCCTGCCAAAAGTTGTGAATAACGATTATGATATTTTGATTTGTTAGGAAAACCAAGAGGGGGAGGGGACTTGAACGACCTCGCTATGTATTTCAGGCGCCATTTACACTATCAAAGTTTATTAGAATAAACCCATGGTAATTTAAAATGTTATCGAAGAAGCAATAACCTCATTTCAATACTACTGATCCGGTTCCCTACTTTTTTTAACAGTGGCGGATTCAATCCGCACACAGCAAAACATTTCGCCAAGTCGTTATATGATAAGGTGATAAGATAATTTCCTTATCAGCGAGGGAAGAACGAACAATTTGAATCACTCTACATGCCATTAAGGAAATATCGGCAGTTATAACGATTTCGGGCAAAATGTGGGAATTGCCGATATAAGACACAAACGGTGTGAGTTTTCATGGCTGCTATTAAGAAAATAGTGACGATTGGAGATGGTGCTTGTGGAAAAACGTGTCTATTAACAACGTACAGTTACAATGAGTTCCCAGAAACTCATGTCCCCACTATTTTCGACACCTACTCGAAAGATACCGAAATAGACGGCTTACCTCTCACTCTTGCTCTGTGGGATACAGCAGGCGAGGAAGACTACGACAGACTGCGGCCTCTGTCTTACTCCAGAACCAACGTAGTGCTCATTTGTTTCTCCATAGACAACCCTGATTCCTTACAAAACGTTAAAGAGCGATGGGCTCCAGAAGCCAAACATTTTCTACCGCATGTGCCCGTCATACTGGTCGGGAATAAGCTGGATTTGAGGAATGATCCTGAAGTGGTGAGATCCCTGAAGCAAATGAAGGCCCATCCAGTGACTTGCCAGGAGGGGGAGCGTATGGCGAGGAAGATCGGAGCTGTGAAGTATATGGAATGCTCTGCCAAGTATCTTCTAGGGGTGAAAGATGTTTTTGAAGAAGCTGCTAGAGTGTCGATGACAGCGAAGAAGGGGAATTTCTGGATGAGATACTGTGCGATATTGTGATGTTTGTGTTGTTATTCGGGGTTTAGTTGAACAGCACGAAGTTGTACAAAAATTTGAGTCAAGGTTCTACAAACCCCCTACTTCAAAGTTTACCTTGACCCGGAGGTTGCCACTCTTGGGGTGGCTGATACACCCTTTTGGGGATGAGGAAGTCTGAATCATTGATTTATAGAGTCTGTAGACCCACTAAAAAAGAAGTAATGGCTTGTTGATGGTTTTATTAAAGCCGCGTTCTCACGAGTCAAAAGTTGATCGATTTCAATTGATTAATCAAAGTTGATTGAAAAACCTCGCTTTGTTTCAATAAAGTTGATGAAGTTTTCAGTGAATCAAAAAAAGATTGATCGATTCAAACTTTTTTGCTTAAGTGATGAGTTAACTTTTAGTGGAGCCTCGTAATGGCTTGAGGCCAGTTAGTGAAAAACTGGAATCGGTCAACAAAACTAGTGAGAACGCGGCTTATAAGTCAAAGTTACAAGTGTCAAAGTAAAATAAGCAAAAAAAATGAATTTTTCGGTAGAAACTCATTATATTTTTTGAAGTGCCCGGTCTAACTTTTTTCGATTCAATATGAAAGTCCCTGGAGTCAAAACGAAGCGAGATATAAGAAAAAAATTTTCAAGCCTATTATTTTCGACAACTAAAAAATGTTACCAAGCCACCCAAGGTTTGATTTTTTTTAGAGTGCTCAGTTTTGAAGAAATTTGAGATTGAAGTGATTATAATATTTTTCTAACTCTGCAAAAAATTTTATTCTTCACCCTCAAGAAGGGGTGGTATCCACTCCCAGGGTGAAAACAACCCTGGGAGTGGGAGTGGTACATGGGAGTGGTACATGAAGTAGAGGGTAAGTAGATCCTTGATGCAAATTTTTATGAACATCAGTGCTGTTTGGTAAAATTGTCCGGGAAAATTGTCATTGACTGGACTGAAAGTGAGGTTAATGGGAAAAATATTGATATTGCATTGATGAATGATTGATAAATGCAGATGTGGAGAACTGCTTACGTATTTGATTAAAAATGGTTTTTATCTGCATATGTATTGTTTGTATTTCGATATTATATTCAGTGCGCGAAAAATTGTTTTGAAATCAGATATAAAACCGAATTAAATCTATGTCAATTTGTTGGGCCACTTTACTATTTGTATTGTTATATTCTAATCTATAGGAGATATAAAGCCCGTCGAGTGTAGTAGTGACAGTTCTGTATTCAATTCAACCTATTGATAAAAACAAATTGAAAATTTCTAGAAATATTATTTATTCTGCTTCCTTTGTTTTTGTTATATCAGAGTTTCAACTTCAGATATCAAATTCTCTTTACTTCGTCACTATTAGATTTCAAACTATATGTTTCGTATTATTTTGGACCATCCTGAATATTGATTGAATACAGACCTGGATATTCATTAGCGTTGTACCTGACGCTTTTTCATATTGAATACGAATTGATCGACGTATCACAAAATTTCACTTAAGGGACATTTCTGCCTAAATTCTAACATCAAAAAGGCCACATCACTAATTTTGCAATCGAGTTATTTTCAAAAACAGGGGAAATAATTCTTGAGAATATTATATCCCTTTCAATTGAACCAAAATAAAAGTTAGTAAAGGTACCTAGAATAAAGTCTCAAAATGATAATATACGTAGCAAGTCCGGAAAATACTGTTTTTTTGGCGTGTAGACAAAATTCTAGGCTGAATTTAAAATGCACGAATATGGGATGGCCGTAAAGATGAATATTTTTATATAACAGCAGGTTTTCTTGTCCAATTACCACAAAAGTTCTCTCAATATCTGTTTTGGAATTTGTCATTTTCACAAACAGTACCAACTAATAATAAATTCATGATTCTTACCTTGTGCATTGATTACAGAAATAAGTTTTTTGATGGGGTGAAATTTGATTTTTATAAAACTTTATTGAAGTATTCTTTGACTTAAAGTTCTAAATTTACATGTTCAATGGTACATACTCAATGTATTTGTGAAGAAATCAGTAAATATCAAGCACAAAGATATATTTTCCTCTATCCACAATGTTTTTTTCATAGATCCGTAATTTTTTACTACTTATGAGATGTTCAAGAATACATTTCATTATTACAATTCCTTTTCTCAAAAATGTTCACACACAAAATGATTTTAAAGACAGAACACACAAACTTTTCTAGATCTGTATCGTATACATCTTTTTATATAGATATTCGTAATTCCTATTTTAATGAAAATAAATACTTTAATAGTAAAATTGTCTAAATTCAAGCAAGTGCTAATTTTTACAATAACCCAGCTTCTTTAGTGCTTCTTCGATGTCCTTGTAAACCGAAATATCTACCACGGTTGGTGGAATCTGAAAAATATTTTTGATTAGGTATATAATTTAATACATTCTTTTTCTGGAATAAATGATTTTCAGGTCACAACGATTAGACTTTCCCTGTTGATTTTTTTCTCGACCTTGATTTTATCATTGGAAATAACTTAAAATAAAAAAACGCGGGATCCTCTGCTATTTATAAGTGTTAATCCAAGGAACTCCTAGTCAGAGAATGCTTTTATACTATTGAGGAATTCGAATCTTTTTTGTTTTGAAATAATATTGAACTATTGCAATTTATTTATTTATTCATTTATTTATACACTGTTCTGCAGGTTATACCCAACTACAGAACAGGGATATAAGTCAAATCACAATACAATACAATGGGGAATGTTCCTACTGACGAAAATCAAGTAGTTTTCATAAAAGAGCTCTAAAACAACGCATTTTAAACTTATCATTTCAACCTTTTTCTTTATTACATTTACTCGCGTTTAACGGAAGGTTAAGTGGTAGAGCAGGACCTCAATAGGTTATACGTAGTGGGCTACTGAATTTCGCCTTTTAGGTCAGCAGTTATATGTAAATGCTTTTCCAATAAAGACATATTATTATTATTATTGTTGCGAAAACACCATTGGTCAACACGTTTCAGATTGAGAGAGAGTTGAAGACAGTCCTCGATACCATTGATCTTACAATATAATTTCAGGTCATCGGTGTATATCAAACAGTAATGTCAATGACCTCAACTATGTCGTTTATGAAGGCCTTAAAGGGAAGTGGACCTAGGTTGCTTCCTTGTGGAACACCTGAGGTAGCTGCATATTCCACAGACTTGAATCCATTGAGTATAACATACTGACGCCTGTCAGTGAAGTATAGATCAGCGTCAGAGAAAAGCCGTACCTGTACAATTTCAATAGCAGTAATCCGTGATCAAGTCTGTCGAACGTCTTAGAGAAGTCCGTATATATGACATCAGTTTGGGATCTCCTATCAATGGTTTCAGAAATATATTGGGTAACATTGAAAAGGTTGGTGATTGTGGTGTTTGTCATCATTGTAATTGTTTCGTATTGTTCTATTATTTCGTTTCGTTTCGTTTGTCAACTCAACCTTAATAATACTGTTCTTTTATGAAATTTAAAATTGTAACATTGCCTTTTCCTATCTATTGCTATTGATAGTTGAAAGGGTTAATGAAAGTTTCATTTTATATTTTTATTAAAGGTGCACACATTTTTTTTGCAGCGGTGGTTTCCAATACTGTCCCAAAATACTCCAAACTTCACAATATCAAAAAGGAACCACAGTTGGCTGAAAATTCGAAAATTCCTTCTAGGTAGTTAACGAGCGAAATAATTCAACCAGGCAATCAGTTCATTCAGCAATTCACAATCGAAAAATATCTTTTCACCAAAAATTTCCGTCCTTATCCTTATGTCCTTGGGTGTGAGAAATAAAGGAACACAACCTACCGACCTAGTCGGTGTCATAGGCGGGTTAGAAAGATTTTAAATATACATAAATTCGCATGTGGAAATGAATAAACTAACCGATTAATTAAAGTATAAATAAATCGTTTAATTTATAACAAAGCAAAATTGTATCGTAACAAGGGTCAATTTTGAAGGCGGCCAGTTTTTGGAATTTTTTCCTGACGTTTCGCTGTCGCGAGTGGCTAGCTTTCTCAAAGGTTTATACATTCTGAGTTTATTCTGATGACTGGATATTACGGCTGCGTAGATCGTATTCATGTTGACTCAGGTAGTTTGGTGTGCCAATACCTGTACCTGTATCAGACTAAATAGACCCACTATCAGCAGCAGGGATGAATCACATATCATGCCCTCGTTGGAAGGTATACAGCGGAATCACCAGAAGATCCATGGAAACAAGGCTGAAAGAGCATGAAATAAACTGCACACTTAAAGGAGGAACCAAAGCATTCTGTTTGAAAGCACGAAACTTATTGCCTCCAACCAGGGATATCGTAGCTGGATGGTACGGAAGATAATAGAGATCCACAAGCATACGGATAATTTCAACAGAAAAGTAAAGCTCTGAACCTCAACCAAATATGGAATCTCATTTCAAAAAATTCAGAAATAGCAAGCATCATGATGACAGGTGAAAAAGGGTCGACGAAAGTTATTGACAATTTACCTAATCCAGATTCAGGTATTAGCACTCCCAACTAGCTGAGTCAACATAAATGCGCTATACGCAGCCGTAATATCAAGTCAAGTAATATCAAGTCATAAATTCATGAAGTATAAACCTCCAAAGAAGTTAGCCACTGGAGACAGTGGAACATCAGAAAAAAATTCAAAACATCATTAGCTTGGAAATCAGAAAAATAGTGACACTGAAAACCTTGGCTTCGTAAGCCTCAACCATTTATATCTATCTTCATGATATCGCCTTTCTGAATATATGAAATTTTTGTGAATTGTGTTAGTGTGCAGTGTTATGTATCCTAATTTTTCGAAACAAATTTGAAATATAGTACAAAGCTAACTATTCTCAAACATGCAAGTTCCACTACCGTAATGCCGGCCCTGCAAATGTTTCTACGAATGAACGTATTCGTGTTCTTCAAAAACATTTCAGGTGATCAACCTTGTGCTTATATTCAACACTAGTAATTGAAAACGGGTAAAAGGCAACTCAACAAAAATGAACATAGAATTGACGTGTTCATCAACGAGTAAACAATGATTTTGATAAGTGTCATTCAATTCTTCATTCCGGTGGCTCTCGTTACGGAAACCCATAGTATTTCCTTCCTTGCCAAATATAAATACGTGAGTTTTTTTAATTGGCAATTTGACTTAATGAATGAGAATACTTTTCAATATTGCAGAACTCAACGTTACAAGTGCTCACAAGAAATGGGATAGTTCAAGGAAAACAAGTGTACTCGGATGATGGATCTTCCTACATTGGGTATTACGGTATACCGTATGCTGCTCCTCCATTGAAATCCTTGAGATTTAGGGTGAGTACAACAGTTAGTTCATTGTAGAGACAGAATTATTTTCTGATAGTGACTTGATGATTCATCTATATGATCAAAATAATCATTTTGTCATACAACTGTCATTATTTGTTGCATTTTCCATATGATTTGGAGTGAAAGTTTTTCATTTTACACCATAAGTATTCAATGCCGAATAGGTTAGGTTGGGTCCAAAGTGAGTGGGTCTATTCGACCCTCCACCGCAACCTGCAAGGTTTTATTGTGTTTCACACCTATTCACACTCGGCCAAACGAACCCAGCTTCCTAACGAAGCCGATTAGTTTGTATGGTGAGTGGTCTTTCAGGTCATATGGTAAGAGTACAGCTCTGCCGAACTCTCAAGACCTGAGCAGACACAAAGTATATGCTCTGTTAAAGAGATAGTCCAGTTGCAAGATTTCCACCTCGATACCCACGACAACTTTCCATATGAGGGTTTTTGCACGTCAGCTACACCTGACGATATCAGGTGTAGCTGACGTGCAAGCTGACAGATTCAGCCTTGCAGGGATTTTTTGCCTCTGGTTTTGGTGAATCATCACTTGAGCGCAAACGTTTGCTAACCTGCTAATGAGGGGTTTGTTCCCCCACCTGAGACAGATTCTGCGTACGCCCCTCAAGAATTTGATGCAAGACGGTTTCATAAATGTGGAATAGAAAAATATGAATAGGAAAATCTTAAATTTTTTCATACAAAACTTCATATTATTACGCTGATATCATATGGAAAGTTGTTGCCTGAGAAAGCAAATGCCTGTCAACCCCAGCAGAACTGTGGTAATCCACTTTACCAGGAGAAGAAAATTGGACGATATAACGCCACTTTCCCCCAATGGTGAGGTCATTTCATTTGGAACGGAGGTGAAATATCTTGGCATTGTCCTTGATGAAAAACTCACTTGGAACGCTCACTTGGGAAAAGTTTTACACAAAGCCAGACTGTCCCTATGGATATATCGAAACATGTCGAAAACTTGGGGTTACGTTCCAAACAAATCCATTGTTTTGATGTGATAATTGTCAGACCAATGATCCCTTATGATGCAACTGCCTGGTGGCCGAAGTCAAGGATTTGAGGTTCTTGAAAGAATGTCGGTTTCGGATTATCAATAATCAATCCGATATTCCCGTTGAATTCTGATTGGACTTGAGCTAGGTAGCAGTCTCTTCAGTAATCTACGGTATCGATCAGAATTTTGTACTTTTTTCAAGTTTTCAGTTTCTAATTTTCATTCACCGAAATGCCACACAGCTTTTGGCACGTTTCAACCTTTTACCTCAATTTTGGTCGTGTATCGCTAACGAAGTATCATTTTTAGCCACGACATATAGTCCTCGACACGATACAAAATCTTGACTTGGGTGGGAGATTCATGCTTGTATCCCGATTCTGAGTTGGCAAATTTTTTTCTATAGATTATATCAGATATGCATTTCCTTACAGTGAACTACTATAGTACTAATCAAGCCCTTTCATTTGATACCCATATTGAGCTGGTTGTGAAATAATATGTAATCCATCATTTTGTAGCTGCGGTCATCTTGAATTTTATTCTCTTCCAAAGTGTACTACTATTATTCTACTAGTCAAGCCCTGTCTCTTAATACCCATGTTGAGGTAGTTATGAAAAAATATGCAATCCGCCATTTTGCAGCTGCGGCCATCTATTAATTTATCAGTCAAGCCCTGTTATTCGATACCCATAATTGATGGCTGCGCCCATCTTGGATCCACAATTATACAGAATTTATTGAATTGTATTGTCATCAAAACTGAATGTTTGTACCAAATATCAGATCGATCTGTCAACAGGAAAAGAGTCACAGAGGGCAAGCTAGGTTAGGTCGTTAGGTTAGGTCCAAAGTGAGTTGGTCTATTCGACCCTCCGCCGCAACCATCAAAGGTTTATTGTGGCTCACACCTATTCACACTCGGCCAAATAAACCCAGCTTCTTAACGAAGCCGTTTAGTTTGTAGGGTAAGTGATCCTTCAGGTCAGATGGTGGGAGTTCGGCTCTGCCAAACTCTAATAACCTGATTTGGTCCCCAGCGGGGCAAGCACAAAGTACATGTTCTGCTGTTTCATCATTTTTCGAACAGAGGCGACACACACTGTCTTCCGACAGTCCAAGTCTCTGCAAATGATGATTCAAGTGACAGTGGTCTGTAGGAAGGCCTGTTAAACATCGTGGTTGATCCCTACTGTAGTCCAACAACTGTTTGGTATCAAGCTTGAAAGGGTGAATAAACGCCTTGGAGTGGGCCAATCCTGGAAGATTCTACCAGAAGTCCATTTATCTTCTTGCAATCCAGGTGTTCAGTATTTGTTTGGCAAAACCTGAAGCGATGCCAATGACAGGTTCTGGTCCGATGAAGCTGCTTGCAACACCCTCTTTTGCAAGAGAGTCGGCAGCTTCATTATCTTCCAGGCCAGTGTGACCAGGAATCCAGACCAGAGACAATCTGTCAAGTCTTCCTATCAAGAAGAGTCGTTTTTGGCAATTTGCTACCAAGTCAGACGTTGCTCGGTAGGAGCCAAGAGCTACCAACGCCGCTTGACTGTACGAGAATATTCTTATTGACTCGTGTGTGAGGTTAGATTTATTCAATATCTACGCACACAATTCAATAGCGTGAATTTCCGCTTGAAATACAGTCGCATAAGTTCCTAGGCAGATAGACATCTCTGTCCTGGGTGTGCAACTGAAAACTCCTGCACCTGAAGCGAAAGGTGTTTTTGATCCATCTGTGAACCAACAAGTATCTGCTCTCAATATTTCCTTCTCACGAAGGATCCAGTCCTCTCTACTCGAGAATAGTACTTTATAAGGCACTTTGTAGTTGACAGTTGGAGGCTAAAGTCAGGATAATGTGACTGCCAGTGTCAACCAACAGTCTGTTGCACTCTGCACCGAATTGATTTGTGCAATTGGCAAATGTGCACAAGTCTGTATGCAGTCCATCTAGCCTCTCTCTCCAGAAAAATGTGGGGAGGAGGCAGATCTAGAAGGATCTCCATGGCTGCTGACGGTGTGGTACTGATGGCACCACTGATAGCCAGACAAACCTGTCTCTGTAAGCCTGAGAGCTTCGCTTGAACCGTTTTCTGTAAAGCCTTCGGCCACCAGTGCACCATAAGTGATCATTGGTCTGATAATCAACACATGAATCCAATGAATTTGTTTGGGACCTGAACCCTAAGTTCTCCAAATCCTTCGACATGTCCATAGAGACAGTCTGTCTCTATGACATGACATGTATTAATGATCGTTTTTATTCTGTGTTTATGTATTATGGACAAAATACGTGACGTGATCCTAATCTCTCATCATGTTTATGAGGAATTATTCTTGTTTTTTGTTCAATATTTTCTTCATCACAATTGAAACATGGTATACAATGAAGAGAATCCATAAGTTGAAATATCAGAGTTTTATCTTTTGTTTTGGTGAAGATAGATCCAATAGTTGAGACTGCTTTGTTTGCAATTTCTATATTTTCTTCAGTAAAAATGAATTTTTCAATATGAATGCCTTGAACAGACTTTGACTATTGGGGATTTGATATAAATGATAGTAATCGAAAATGTATGTATATGTGATTGGAATTTGAAGAAGAAAGGTTACTCTATTGAGCAGAATAAAACATTCGATGTTTATGATTTTTCCTAATTTCAAGATATTTCCTATAGAAATGTCAATAGAAAGTTGATTATTTGCAATACCTACTTCCGTCAGTGGGTTTCACTATGCTTGGGTGCGTGATGTTGTTTCGTAAATGGAATTTTAAATTTCTTGTGAATCAGAATCACAAGTACTCAAATATCTATTGAGTTCATTCGGGTTCCCATCGAATTGTGGAACGCAATTTAAATATTCGGGTTTGAAAACATTTGTCATCTCTAAAGAATATTACTGAAGTTTTCTAAAGAGTTCAAAATATTCAATCCTGAATTTTGGTTATGAGATGTAGGTATTATTTCTATTGATTGAAATTGATTGCGGATTGAAATTAGTTCGATTTGAAAAGGGGTTCGCAAAAACTCGATTGGTTTTTGGATTTGGTTTGGAAATATAATTGTCTGAGTCAGTTGAAGACAGTGATTGAAAAATATTCTCAAGCGATATAAAATCAGAGTACTCTCAATGAAAGCAAGATTTTGGCCATCGCCTCCTAACCACTATGAGGAGTCTGCCCTGGTTCAGCGATTTTGTCTTCAGGGGCGATGAGGTTCTTCTTTTCAAAAACATCTTCGGTACGGAGTTTCCTGCAGGACTTCGATTGACTGGGTTTCCTGAAGTTCTAGAAGCCGCTCTTCTTCTAACGCCAACTTGTTCTGTTAACAGGTTCGATTGCCAAATAATCGTTGAAACGGAAATCACCAGTACGATACGCGCAATTTTGACAATTCTACTGCCGACTGCACCAATTAACTATCGATGGCACTAAACTTGCTTTTCAAATATTCTTTCATTGTTACAAAAACTGAAAATCAAAAAAAAATGCAACTATACAAAATTAAAAAATTGTTCGTATTGTTACTTTGAGAAATGAAGTCTGACTCTGGATGCGAAGCTTTGAAGATGTGTACTCCTGTGAAAACTGTCTGAATAATATCCTGAATCTGATGATACCCCTGCGTTGATATTTTGAGTGTCGAGACGCTTGTAAAATAGTGATAAAAATTGATATTAATTCAATCGAGTCAACGAAAAATGTTCAAAACCAAAATTTCATTACACTTACGGCCGCAGTAACTAAAACAAGTCATTTCGTTGTTATTTCAGGTACTGCGACCGTGGTTGCAATACAATAAGACATTTGTTCATGAAATGACAAACTTGCATTCCAACCTAAAGGAAACACTATTTCACATTCAATTATTCATATATATTTCCTCAATTTCAGAATCCCCATCCGGTAAAGAGATGGAGAGGAGTTTTAGATGCGACCAACTTCCAATCCGGATGCATTGAAACACAAATCAGATTGAAAGGAAATATTTTGAATGTTCTTGGGTCAGAAGATTGTTTATACATCAACGTTTTCACACCAGTTAAAGTGAGTTTAGTTGTCTTTCACGATAACATTATTATTAACCTGAAAAACGTTTATTCGAAGCCAAGTTCATTTACGTGTTTTTGCTTTCATATATCATATGTCTAATGTATGGATCAATCAACCAATCAGTCAATATATTTTATAGTCCAAGAAAAGATATTCTTATCAATAAAACTTTCTATAATCTGAAGTCGGTACATGATTGAATTTGACAAATAGTATTCTATATATTACAGGTCGACAAACACAAAAAGTGAGCATCATCGTAAAACTATTTTTATTCACATTGCTCATTATAATCTGAAATATGTGTGTAATTGAATTTGTAAACAGTACATAAAATGAGTTGACAAAGGCAAAAAATTCATCGCAATACAAGAAAGTTAGCATCATCGTAAAACTCATGTAGGTGTGATTCGATTAGAGAAAAATATGTCACCTTATTCATTGGCAGACCCAGTTCCACAGACACAACTCTCACTGCAAAGCAGGACGAAGCTAGTTTCCTTTTGAGACTTTGGATGTGTGAATGGAATTTTAGGTTACTATCGATTTCAATGCCAAGAAATTTGGTACAGATTTTGTTTTCAATGGTTGTAGTGTCAAATATAAGACGTTCATGAAAGTATTTGAAAGTTAGAAGGCTAGTTTTTTTGCATTGAAGCAGAGATGATTTGAGTCGCACCAGTGTTATACCTTCTTCAAGTCATCTTCCATTTTTAATTTTAGTAACTCAATATTAGACTGCCTTTTAAATCACTGTGAATGTACTTTGAACTCTAAAAAAACGTCTAGATATTTTTGCCACCATCAAATTATGTAGGGTTTTCCAACAGGGACTTCCAACCTTTAACAATTGATAACGGGCATATCGTTGGAGCTATATCTGTCATATTAGTTGCAATTTATTCTGTCTGTTGTACCAAATCATCATGGATGGATACACCGTTCATCAACACCTGCATATATTTAAATTGTTTCATCAAAATGGGTGTTCTGTTTAGGCCACGTACCACGTACTTCGTCCATTTTACGGTCACCATAATCGTCTTCGCAATGAGATGGATGAATTTGAGTCCACTGGTTCAAGATCTGCTGGAAACATCGCCGCTAGCTATACGAGTGTGCAGTGTGTGACTTGGGCCTGCACCTGTACAAAATTCAAGTGACCCTGGTAAACGACCATAGAAAACGACGTGTGCTCGTTGAATGGACTCTGGAGCACTTGGCAACTGACCCTTACTTTCATGGAATGATCATCTTCAGCAATGAGGCCCATTTCTGGATGGAAAGGTACACGAAAAAACAAAATTTTTGGAAAAGTCACTGTTTGGTGGGGAATTTGGACTGAAGGCATCATCGATCCATATTTCTTCAAGAACCACATTGACCAAGCCATCACCGTCAACGGCGAGCACTATAGGTCGATGATTACCAACATTTCTTGACCTGAATTGGAGGATCTGGACACCAACACCATGTGTTTTCAACAGGACGAAGTTGCGTGCCACACATTTCATGCCACATAGCATATTATGCACGAGCGATATGGAGGCATGGTCATCTCACGTGGAGGTTATGAGAACTGGCCACCTAGATCGTGCGATTTGACTCCGGTACACTTTTTCGTGTGGGGTTATCTTGAGTCGCAACAAACCACAGCTGGCCTCAAAGTCAACATAATTTCTGTCATCGATCAAATTCAGCCGGTTTATGCACCATAGTCATTAAAAATTGGACGTTTAGGATGCGCCCCATCCAGACAAGCCGTGGCGTACATTTGAACCATGTTTAATTCTACACATAATGGCGTCAATAAGTCTTTCAAACGAATAAAAAACTTCATTTATATCTCACACACACTTTGTTTTATTCAAATTAAAATATAAGAAGCATTTAACGGAAGACAGCACATTTTTTCAAAGATAGGAAAACATAAAATCCTATTGCCTGCTAAGTGAACCACTAATTAAGTTGATTATAAATAAATAGCTATAATTTTGCTGTGAGCATGAGTAAATCTATAATTTTGAACTTTGTATGTTGATAGTGTCAACACATGTATAGTCTATCCATTCCCGATTGGAACGACAATAAAAATAAGAGTACAGTCATAAACATTTCTTGCCTGTGGCCCCTAGTCGCCCAGATAGTTAGTAAACGTGCTATCAAATGTAGTTGAGGAATAAAGGCTCGGCTAGCTGGACTGGCTGAATACAAATGTTTTGTCTGTTTCACAATATTTCTTTATCAGTGCCGTGTGTTCGTGGGGTTAGGTGAGTGGTTTTACAAACCAATTTTTGAAAACTTTTTCTAGAGATCAATTACCCTAACACAAAACTGATATTTTTGGACTCGACGCGCAAAAATGATTATCCTAATGAATTTTTCGGTAATTAACTAGTGTAACCACTACCTGCAAATTAATTTGTCAACAATAGATTAAAAAGCATGCAATAGGATTTTATGTTTTTCTATCTTTGAAAAAATATGCTGTCTTTCGTTGAATGCTTCTTATCTTTCAATTTGAATAAAACGAAGTGTGTGTGAGATATAAATGAAGTTTTTTATTCGTTTGAAAGATTTATTGAAGCCATTATGTGTAGAATCAAACATGGTTCAAATGTACGCCACGGCTTGCAAATTAATTTGTCCGCTTTTCCGACAAATTGATTTGCAGGTAGTGGTTCCACTACTTGATTACCGAAAAATCAATTAGGATAATCATCATTTAACAAACAAATTCCACATCGGACCAAAAAACTCTAGGTATGTAAACAGCTAACTCTTGTCTGTAGATTCAGTATCAATTTGCTTCTCCTGAAGATGCTAACCTTGTTAGCGAAACGCGCGTCGAGTGCAAAAATATCAGTTTGGTGTTAGGGCAATTGATCTCTAGAAAAAGTTTTCAACTTTCACACCAAAGGTTCCAATCTCATCGTTTAAATCGATTTTTGTGAAAATCTTAGTGTTTTTGGGTACTTTCATCAATATGGCTTTCTGGAGACCTTTTGAAACAAATGGTAACATTACGTGGGAGGAATCTGTGTCAATCGACAGGGATCCGGAATTTGAAAATAAGGACTTGCATGTTCAAGTTCAGCGAGTAATTTTAAATATTCATGAATGCTTGAAGAAGGAAAACTGTCACACTTCACAGAATGCTATTGTGAATAGAATATGCGAGTTAACGAAACTATCTCGTTCGACAGTTCTTCGAGTTATTAAAATAGGGGATGTCGTTGACCCTGCGATGAAACGAAAACAAAGGTATAAAAAATTTGCAAACGTTGATGGTGCTACAAAAGATGTGATTCGGCGAACAATTTATGGTATATACCAAAAAAAATGAAGTACCATCTTTGGAAATGATTTGCAACATAACGCTTATTTAAAAACAATAATTGGGTAGCATTTCGTATTAATTAATGAATCAATCATAGCATCATAAAATATCTATAATATGTATTCAATATAGAAAAATAGTTTGTTTATCAGAGAACATGAATGTATTCGGGATGCGCGATAAGAAAAAGTAAAAACAATCGAATCGGGAAAAATTGGTATTCATATGTAATCACTCAATTTTTCAAACTCTTTCAATTTAAAAAACACCAGTAGCCTAACCTCAATTTCAATGTACTCATATTCTGTGATTCTTGCAGAAGCCCAGTCAGGACAGCTATCCAACCATATTCTACATATATGGCGGGGCATTCGTCGAAGGACAATCCCATATATACAATCCTGATTTTCTAATTCAACAGGATCTCATCGTCGTCACTTTCGACTTTCGAAGTGGTCTTTTTGGTAAGTTACGTCAAAATTATATTGAATCGAAAGTACTGAAACTACTATAATTTCCCATTTTTTGAGTTGGGAAAAATGTGAAAGACTATTGTTTGCCAAGTGTTTGACTCTATTCAGAAAAGTGGATTCAAACTTTCTTGAAAATCTGGTATTGTAAATCATGCCCTAATGAAAATTACGCCGGCCGCCACTGGTAGCCATACACCAATTGTGACGTAGCTAAGAGGGCGCGAATGTACGATGTTCGCAGCCGCTCTATATGAAGCGAGAATAATGCTACCGGTGAATTTTCTACCGCTTTCGATTACGATATATAAACGCTAGCCACGAGCATATCGACACAGTCAAGTGAAAGTTACAGTGCGGTATACGAACGGATCTAGTAAGGCGATAGACATTCGAATAAAAGTTGAAGTGTTTGTTGTATTCAAAGTGAATTATGATTATTGTTCAGTGTAGTTAATTATTGGTCAACCCATGGGAAAAAACGTAATATTTGGAGTCGGAAGTGGAATAATTGACAGATAAACTTTCTGTTTCTTGGTGAAAACAGGAAGTGTCGTTTATGACGAGATGGAAGAGCTTAAAAAAATTTTGAAGATCGTGTAAAACTGTAAAAACAGGAAAACCTTCATTTATTTGAAGATTCAAAAACTACTCAAGTGAGTAAAGAGGAAGTACGGAAATTTTTTCAGGAAGAATTTCAAAAAGTATTTCAGGAAACAAAGAAAAATAATCTGTTTTTCCGGTAATCAAAGAAATGATTAGAAAAAGCAGTCAATGAGAAACTTGAAGGGTAAGAAAAGAAATTTGAAGAGGAGCTTGAAGAAGTCGGAAGGAAATTTGAAAATAAGCCTGAAGGAGTCAAGAAAAAGTTTGAAGAGGTTTTCCGAGAACTTCAGAAGGAATCACCGGAGCCAAAAAGGATAACTATGGAAAATTGCTTCCGATGGCGAATCTTCATGGTCAATTTATCGCCGACAATTAGAGGCTGCTGCGGAAAATAACGGGCGGAAAAATGGGAAGAAAGCAACAGCTCTTATAATGGCACTACGAGGAAAGGCCTCCGAAATTCTGCACAATATTCCAGTGAATAGGCAGAAGGATTATGAAGCAGTCGTATCAGCGCTGGAGGTCAGGTATGGTAATGAGCACCTTCAACAAGTCTACCAAGCTCAACTGAAGACAAGAACTCAAGCTCCATCCGAGAGTCTGAAGGAGTTTGGGACTGAAGTCGAAAGGTAGGTGAGACTCGCTTACTCAGAAGCACTTGATAAGCTGCAGCAGTCATTGCAATTCCTCTTTTTTTTGTGGCATACAGGAGCTCCCAGCATGACGCGACCGGTTACACACTATCCATGTTGTTAACTGATAGGAAACAACAACATGAAGACATGATTTGACAAAAAGTCGCTACCAGTGAGCTTTAAGGGCGATGTGGTGTGGCTCTACCAACCTCAACTCAGGAAGGATTATGTTTCAAGTTGCAGAGACCATGACAATGACAGGGACCTTACTTGATAGCCAGAAAGATGAATGAGTCCGTGTACATAATCCAATTGTCACCCAGAAGCAAGCCTAAAATTGTTCACATAGAGAGACTGTTTCCTTACATAGGAATGTTGTTTGGAGCGAACAACCTCAGGGACGGAATTAGTGTTGTGAATCATGCCCTGAAAAAAATAACGCCGGCCGACACTGGTAGCCTTAAACCAATTGTGATGTAGCTAAGAGTGCGCGAATGTACGATGTTTGCAGCCGCTCTAGATGTAGCGAGAATAATGCTACCGACTTCGATGGAGTTCCGGCGAATCTTCTACCGCCTTCGATCACGATATATAAACACTAGCCACGAGCATATCGACACAGTCAAGTGGAAGTTACAGTGCGGTATGCGAAGCGATCTAGTAAGGCGATATACATTCAAATATTTATTTAAAGTGAAATGAAGTTATGTTTGATTATTGTTCAGTGTAGTCAATTATTGGTCAACTCAAAGGAAGGCTGGCAAAATTTGCCTTGTTATTGTATATTTTTTGAAAACAGATCCAAATCAATTATCGTCTTTTTGAATCCATAACTGCAAAAAAGCTAATAATTTGGTATTGCAAAGGTATTGACATTCAGTCACTAGAAAAATAATTGCATATCGGCGACGATAGTCTCGAATTTCATCGTGATTAAAAACTGAATCATCACTTTTCAACACTTTGTCATCATAATGAGTTGTTGAATTAGATTCAAAAATACTGATGGTTTTATTAAACTTCATGGAAAATAATTTTCGTATGCCACTCTATGTTTTGAAGAATCGGTATGAATTTAATATTTTGCCAATAACTACATACCAAAAATGAAGAACCTATCTGTTTTTTTTTTCAATTTTTTTGTTATTTTCATTTTGTTTTTGATAGTTATGGACTACCCTGTAACTGTAATGAAAATTAACGGCAGTTATCTGCATACGTAATGTCCGGAAATGTATCAGGATATTTTTTGATGTAGTTACAATTCAATCATTCCGTTTTTGAAATATGTTATGAAAAGTAGTGTGCACGATCAACTTCAACACCCCGTGTGTCGGAAACCAGTAATATGATTGATTTGGGTCCATGACACTTTCGATCAGAAGGTCGATTATTACAATTTGATAAAATTGATCAGAGCATGGAAAGTAATAGAAGCTAGATCCAAAACTGAAAATGAAATGTGGAGGGGTATATACGACATACCAGCTGAAATCCAAAAACGGGTATATTAAAAGCAGGTAATTGTTGGTTCGCAGATGGCTCAAACACACCTTTCGGTTCTGTTGCAGGTGTTTTTAGTCGCAGACGCAGGACAGAAATATCTACCTGCCTAGGAACTCATGCGACTGTATTTCAAGCGGAAATTTACGCTATTGAATTGAGTGCGGAGAGATTCGATTAATCCAACCTCACACACAAGTCAATGAAATATTCTGGACTTCTGGCAGAATCTTCCAGGATTGGCTTACTCTCAGATATTTAGAACACTTAACAGATTGTATCTGGTCTGGATTCCTGGCCATACTGGCATGGAAGGCAATAAAGCTGCTGACTCACTTACAAAGGAGGGTGCTGCAAGCAGCTTCATCAGATCAGAACCTGTCATTGGCATCGCTTTCGGCTTTGCCAAACAAACATTGAATACCTGGATGGCAAGAAGATTTATGGGCTTCTGGTAGATTCTTCCAGGATTTGTTCACTCCAAGGCGTTTATTCAACCTTCGAAGCTTGATAACAAACAGTTGTTGTACTACAGTAGGGATGAACTACGATGTCTAACAGGCCTTCTTATAGGTTCACTGTCATTTGAATCATCATATGCAGAGACTCGGACTGTCGGAAGATAGTGTGTGTCGCCTGTGTTTGGAAAATGATGAAAGAGTAGATAATATACTTTGTGCCTGCCACGCTGGAGACCGAATCAGGTTTTTAGAGTTCAGCAGAGCCGTATTCTTACCATCTGACCTGAAAGACCACTCACCATACACACAAATCAGCTTCGTTAAGAAGCTGGGTTTATTTGGTCCAGTGTGAATAGGTGTGAGCCGCAATAATCCCTTGCGAGTTGCGGTGGAGGGTCGAATAGACCCTTATTGTTCATTCTGTGTCATATTTTCAATGCTTGTTCAGAATGGTCATTATTTCTACACACTGAAATTAGCCTTGAAAATATAATTATATAAACACGAGGAATATAATGATTTGTTATGAAAATTTCCGTCCGAACAATTTGTCAACAGCTTTTCGTGATAAACGTTTTAGGATGGATTTCATAATTTTTTTAACAAATGAATATGAAATCAATTGATGATGCATGTTTCCCTTGAACGGTAAATCACAAAAAACTGCTTTATTTGATTTTGATAATTATATTGATAATTATATGATAATTGATGGCCGGTCGGTAGCCGGGCGATTCGACGTGGGTGCTTTGTTCACTCAGTCAATCGGCCGATTATCCGGATCATGACCTTGACATTGACCCTGAAGACCATTGAGAAGTAATGTAATATGACCTTGGAATTGTAATAGACGTAATGGTCAGGGTCAAAACTCAACACAATGTTGGGAAGTCATTAAAAAATTGTTTACCTTTATTTTATGTTATTTTTCGACATGCATTCTCCAGAAGTTGTTATGCTGTTTGCATACTTTTGGGAAACCTGGCATACTTGAAGATAAACTCGTATAGAACACTTTACCAAAGAGTTCTAAAGTAAATGTTATGCAATTAGAGTTTCGACAAAGCATTTAAATATAAATGATCTCGAAATAATCTATCGTGGAATGTTTTCTGATCGCTGCCGATACCTTTGAGTTTACACGCAAATATGTACCGTAAGATTGTTTATCTTGGATAGTTATGAATAAAAGTCCACGATAGTATATTATCTACCACTTATGTGGTACCCACTATATGCAAAATACTGAGCCATAAATACAATTGAATTGGATACTTTTTTCACAATGTACATGTTAGTAAATCTGTCGAATTCTTATGAAAATTGATACAATTGTCATTTTGAGTATTTAATAGTCTTCACACTAAGTGGTTTGGATGAATCGCTCAAAAGTTATCATGATCAGATTAACAGTAAACCAATACGCGTCGCGCCTATTGTAAGACGACGAGAGACGATGCGCGGGGATAGAGGGGCGGTCTAAGCAATGAAGCGCCATCGCCGAGAACGCGACTCGAACGCGGGCAGATACGTCAGGGCAGACTTCGTTGATGGTTGTATTAGTTTTGCGAATTTCTTCATAGGTAACATAATTCGATTTTTGAAGCTATTCATTACTTAGTTCATTTGGCATATTTTTTCCAGTTACTGTATTTTTTCAAGTAGAAATATAAATTACTAGATGTTGGTCCCTATTATATTAACGTACAGCCGAAGCTACTGAAGAAAGGAAATCAGTAATTTCTAGCCCAAAGGGAAAAAATAGGGCTTCAAAGATTTTATTGAATTTTGTCTACATCGGTTCACTTGAGAATGGTTCAATAAACCGAAACCGGTTGCAACAAATATAAATCTCAGTATAAATTGGACAAAAGTTATTTTCTCTATCCTATATTCAATATAAATTTTCAAATAATTAACAGGTCATCAATTGAACAAACTCTGGTGTGCTTTTTTGGTCTTGGCTCACCTTGGCTCTTTCATTGGCATGATTGGACTTTGGTTTCGATGTCATAAGCATATACCCATGATTCGTCACCAGTTATGACCCTTTCAAGCGAATCTAGATTGTCGTTGAAGTCATTCGTCATAACAATTTTCTTAACTTTCGCAACATTTTCATTGTTTGTTAATGAACTGGGGCGTCCAGAGCGAGTGTCGTCATTCACATCTTCTCTACCTTCTTCGGAAAGCTTGTAACATGTTGATGCAAATTATTTGATCCATTTCTTTCGGTAGCATGAAATTGCCAAACTCACAAAATACTTCTAACTTTCATGCCTCTAATCAACAAACTGAATATGCCAAATAGCTCGAACTGTTAAGATAGGTTAGGTTAGGTCTAAAGTTAGTGGGTCACTTCGAACCTCCACCGCAACTCGCAAGTGTTTATTGTGGCTCGCACCTATTCACACTCGGCAAAATAAACCCAGCTTCTTAACGAAGCCGATTAGTTTGTATGGTGAGTGGTCTTTCAGGTCACATGGTTAGAGTACGGACCTGCCAAACTCTAATAACCTGATTCGATCCCCAGCGGGGCAGGCACAAAGTATATGTACTGCTGTTTCATCATTTTCCAAACAGAGGCGACACACACTGTCTTCCGACAGTCCGAGTCTCTGCATATGATGATTCAAATGACAGTGACCTGTAAGAAGGCCTGTTAGACATCGTAGTTCATCCCAACTGTAGTCCAACAACTGTTTGGTATCAAGCTTGGAAGGATGGATAAACGCCTTGCAGTGAGTCAAGCCTGGAAGATTCTGCGAGAAGTCCATAAGTCTTCTTTCCATCCAGATGTTCAATTTTTGTTCGGCAAAGCCCAAAGCGATGCCAATGACAGGTTCTCGTCCGATGAAGCTGCTTGCAGTACCGCAGTAATCAGCTTCATTACCTTCCAGGCCAATATGGCCAGGAATCCAGACCAGAGACAATCTGTTAAATCTTCCTATAGCGGAGAGTCGTTTTTGGCAATTGTCTACCAATGAAGACGTTGCTCGGTAGGAGCCAAGAGTTTCCAACGCCGCTTGACTGTCCGAAAATATTTTCATTGACTTGTGTGTGAGGTTGGATTTATCCAATCTCTCCGCAGATAATTTAATAGCGTAAATTTCCGCTTGAAATGCAGTCGCATAAGTTCCTAGGCAGATAGATATCTCTGTCCTGGTTATGCGACTGAAAACACCTGCACCAGAATCGAAAGGTGTTTTTGATCCATTTGTGAACCAACAACTATCTGCTTTTAATATTTCCTTCCTCCGGATGATCCAGTCCTCTCTACTCGGGAATAATACTTCATAAGGCAGTTCGTAGTTGACAGTTGGAGGCATAAAGTCAGAGGTCATTTCCAGAATGCAGTGACTTCCAGTGTCAACCAACAGTTTGTTGCACTCTGCATCGAATTGATTTGTGCAATTGGCAATGTGCACAAGTCTGCATGCAGTCCATCTAGCTTCTCTCTTTAGAAAAATGTGGAGAGGAGGTAGATCTAGAAGGATCTCCATGGCCGCTGACGGTGTGGTACTGATGGCACCACTGATAGCCAGACATGCCTGTCTCTGTAAGCCAGAGAGCTTCGATTGGGCCGTTTTCTGTAAAGCCTTCGGCCACCAAACAACTGCACCATAAGTGATCATTGGTCTGACAATCATCACATAAATCCAATGGATTTGTTCAAGACCTAAACCCCAAGTTTTACCACAAATCTTTCGGCACGTCCATAGAGACAGTCTGGCTTTGTGTAAAACTTTTTCCAAGTGAGCGTTACAGGTGAGTCTTTTATCAAGGACAATGCCAAGATATTTCACCTCCGTTTCAAATGGAATGACCTCACCACTGAGGGAAATTGGCGTTATATCGTCCAATTTTCTTTTCTTGGTGAAGGAAATTAACATAGTTTTGCTGGGGTTGACAGACATTTGCTCCTTCAAGCACCAACTGTGAACAACTCCCAACGTGCTTTGGAGAATATTACAAGCTACCCTTCCCGACGTAGACCTTGCCAGGATGACAAGGTCATCTGCATAAGCTTGCAGATCAACTTTTCTTATGTCAAGGGCATCAAGCAGATCATCCCCCAGGAGCGACCACAGAAGGGGAGATAGTACCCCACCTTTAGGGTAGCCCCTGGTCGTCGTAGTTGCGGTTCTGTTTAGTAACATGGCATAGGTCCAGTCATTTATGATCGATTCTATACCCTTCCTAGCCAGAGGCAATTCAGTAGATTCAGGTAGTGCATTGTCAAATTTTCCTTCAATATCAAGAAATACAGCAACCACGATATCCTTGTTGTCAAAGGATTGGGAGATTTTCTCAACGAAGTTGTTTAATGCTAAATCTGTCGATTTGCCGGTTTGATGAGCATACTAGTGGTTATTCAAGGGGGATGCATATAAAGCTACCCTCCTGATATGTCCGTCCAGCATCCTCTCAAGTCTTTTCAGCGGGGAGGATGTAAGGCTGATTGGTCGTACCGATTTAGGGTGTGGGTCTCTCCGACCACCGTTGCTGCCAACCAACTGGGTGTTATGTAGTTCCACGCCAGACTAGCTCTATACAATTTTATGAGAATAGGTAAAATTATTTCGAGTCCACTTTGAAGAAGAGCTGAAAATATGCCATCCCCTCCGGGAGATTTGAAGGACTGAAAAGACTTGGTAGCCCATTCAACTGTCGGTGCTGGGATAACCTTCTTTGCGACGTCCAAATCATTCTCTTTTGGGCGTTTAGCGCCCTCGTCTGTTTTTATCAAGAGTCAGACGTCCAGGAAAGTGGTTTTCTATCAAAAGCTCTAACGTTTCTTTACTAGAGGTCGTAAATGTTCCATCGGGTCGTTTAAGCGACCCAATTTCACCAGTCGGCTCTCTAGAGAGAATCTTGTGAATTTTTGTGCTGCGAGGTAAATCAGAGATACTCTCTCAGAACTTCCCCCAAGACTCCCGTTTTGCCTTTCCGATTTCCTTGTTGTATAACGTTAGAGTAGTTTTATTAAGCTCCCAGTTACCTGACTCTTTAGCTCAATTGAATAGTCGTGGAACTTCTTCAATTGTTAAGATATGTTCGAGACTAGTGTATCAGCATAAAAGAATATAAACATCGCTAATCGAATGTATGCAGCCCGTAACATTTGAACATTCACATTATTTTTTTTAACAGGCCACGTCTATGAAATGACGTTACTTTGTATTTGCACAACTGCATCATTTATCTAGCTAATCTTTTATTTGTATCACTTACAAGTTCTGGTTTATCATTGTGTCCTTCAAGAGGCTTCTTTCAGGTTTTCTAAGCACAGAAGACGAGTCGTCGTATGGCAATTATGGACTAAAAGACCAGCACGCAGCATTAAAATGGGTGAATTCCAATATCAAACAATTCGGTGGTGATCCTGATCAAGTTACCATGACGGGACATAGTTCAGGAAGCATAAGTGCTATGTATCAAATGATTTATCCAAAATCTTGGGGTCTCTACAACAGAGTTATATGCCTGAGCGGAGAGGTATGTAGATATATTTGGTCTTTTGACAAATTTTCCTTTTACTCGGATACTCATACTCCAAATATACGATGTTTGTTTTGAAATTCATGAAATAAACATAGAAAGTGGCTCTACTGTTTCGCGTGGTCTGATTGGACTGATCATATCCAAATGGACAAGCTTCTAGTTGGGAGTAGTTTTTTAACGCTTGCCTTCTTGATAGTTCCTACTGGAACCTCTGACGTGAAATGAATCTATTGAAAACAGTTTCCCAACACCAGGACAAAAATTACGGTCGCTCGTAAGATAGTCATAATGACATCCTGAGGACGCTAACTTGGTTAGAGAAACACGCGTCGGGTGACCGTAATTTTTGTTATGGTTTTGGAAATTTGTTTTCAATAGCTTGCCTCCTGCCAAAAGACTTAGATAGATACATAGNATTTTTTTAAGCGCTTCTTGAATTTATTGTTTGATAGGATTTTGTATTCTTGCGGTAACAGGTTGTGAACATTATAATTTAGAGAGTTTTTCTGTAATTTGGTTAAGCGAAAACGATCAGTACGAATATTGCCTGCAGCTCAGATATAGGTAGGTATATACTTAACTTTCAATGTTCGAAAATAGTTTTTCTAATCTTCGATCTCCATTTCAGAAAATGTTTGATATGCAGCTGAATTCAGTCTATTATCAAACTATTTGAATGGCATCTTTTTATGAGGAAATAGATGAGAGAAGTATCGAAATTATATATTTTCATCACTGGACACAATCATGTCGCTGGAATAGCGGAGGCTGCTTCTCAAAAGCTTGGAACACTGTTCCGAACCAGAAAACTAACTATACACACCTCAGCAACTTTTAATGCTTTATAAAGCTCAGATCAGACCTTCTTTGGAGTATTATTCTCATGTATGGAGCTCTGCCCCCAAACACACCCTGAAGCTGCTGGATTCCATCCAGCCTGATTGGAAACATAACCATTTTCTATCCTTTACTTCTTTACGCAGCGGTTTTGAGCAATACATTAAATCTTTTCCAATTAAGTACTTCAAATACATTATACATTCAATATAGATCAGTATGGCCCTCCACAGCATGTATTATAAATGAGTGATTTCAGAGATGTTACAGATTTGTTATGCAGGGACATAGCGGTTGTGGTGGTACCGGCTGGGGGCCCGACTGCGCGAGCCTATAAAAAGCGCTTCGAAGGCCGCGCTTCGCCCTGAAGCACTTAGAGATAATTAGCGATTGCACGCTTTTAGTATCAACATTGCACCCGTGCGTAGCCGGGGCGTTTCGCTACTATACTCTATGGAAATATTTTCATTGGCGGTATTCTGATGACTTTCCATCTGTCCATCATCATTTACTCTGTATTCTTTCTCAGGAAATGGGTGAACTTTTCCTTACATTTTTTTTATATTGTATCTAGCCATTGGTTATTGAAATTGAAAATTGATTGTATTAGTGAAAAACTCGTAAGGTTTTACTAAAAATTATAAACTTTCGATGTCGTTTCTAAGGTGAAATGTCCAAAGTTATAATGTATTCATTTGGTGTTATTTCACATTTTATCCTACTTTATTTCGGTTGTGATAATTAACCGTTTTCTTCCTCCCCATATTTTGAACACCGTTATTTATTTATAGTTAGCCGTGGTAAACATTCAAAAATTGAGTTATACTTTTTATAATGTATGTTTCTTCTGCTGATTACCCGTATATTGTGGGAAAAAAATCTAGTAACTGAATCAGTATATGCATTTTCAGGTTACCGCTGAGCTAGGCCTTCAAAAATTTCCCAGAAAAACAGCTTTCAATGTCGGTCTTAGTCTTGGTATCAAAACTGATAATTCGACTGAGTTGGTCGAGAGACTACGTCAAATGGACATCGAACAGTTGAAACAGGCACAAACGAAGGTCGTGATAGCGGTAAGTATGTATATAAAATACAATTTACTAGACCAATTTTCCGAACGGATATAATATATTGAATTTCAAATGAAACAATTGTAAAATAAGGAATAGTTTCATTTAGTACTATGTACTTAGTACTCTTATGTAAAACGGACTATTCTCATAGAAGGTTCCAAATGGGTTGCATTCGAAAAAAAATATATAGGGGATTTTCAAAATGTTGTGTTACAAAAATATCCTCTACATGATTCCCCCGGGAGAAAACTAAATATTACTCTGATAATTCCTCTTTGTGTGATGAATATCGCTTGGAATTATGTGTATTGCTCCACAAGACAATATAACAAGAAATTCTTCAATATATCAGAGCATAACATACATTCAAAAGTTGTGATGTACTTGAAATGCTTTTGAGTTGAAGAATGACGTAATATCCACTATTGAATTTTCTTGGTTACATAGTTGATCTTTGATTTTCACCTCATATTTGAGTTAACATATAATCCCAGAAATTTTACATTTTCAAAAGGTTCAATTATGTTGTTGTTGAATGAAATAGACCTCAGGTGTATCAAAGAGAATCTTAATGATATCGTTTTTCCAACATTAACAATCAAACAATTTTTTCACACCATAAACTGAGTTGTTCATCTATCGTGTCAATTTTAGTTTGAAGCTCCAACAGGGTGTTGCCTCTGGCTACTATAGTTGTATCATCTGCAATAGAAAAATATATTCACATCTCAGATGAAGAGGTAGATCAAATATGGATAAAAGAAATATCAATGGACCTATGATAGAGCCCTGAGAACTCCAAAATCCATACCATATTCAGCAGATCTATTGTCTTGAACTTTTNCGTACCGATTTAGGGTGTGGGTCTCTCCGACCACCGTTGCTGCCAACCAACTGGGTGTTATGTAGTTCCACGCCAGACTAGCTCTATACAATTTTATGAGAATAGGTAAAATTATTTCGAGTCCACTTTGAAGAAGAGCTGAAAATATGCCATCCCCTCCGGGAGATTTGAAGGACTGAAAAGACTTGGTAGCCCATTCAACTGTCGGTGCTGGGATAACCTTCTTTGCGACGTCCAAATCATTCTCTTTTGGGCGTTTAGCGCCCTCGTCTGTTTTTATCAAGAGTCAGACGTCCAGGAAAGTGGTTTTCTATCAAAAGCTCTAACGTTTCTTTACTAGAGGTCGTAAATGTTCCATCGGGTCGTTTAAGCGACCCAATTTCACCAGTCGGCTCTCTAGAGAGAATCTTGTGAATTTTTGTGCTGCGAGGTAAATCAGAGATACTCTCTCAGAACTTCCCCCAAGACTCCCGTTTTGCCTTTCCGATTTCCTTGTTGTATAACGTTAGAGTAGTTTTATTAAGCTCCCAGTTACCTGACTCTTTAGCTCAATTGAATAGTCGTGGAACTTCTTCAATTGTTAAGATATGTTCGAGACTAGTGTATCAGCATAAAAGAATATAAACATCGCTAATCGAATGTATGCAGCCCGTAACATTTGAACATTCACATTATTTTTTTTAACAGGCCACGTCTATGAAATGACGTTACTTTGTATTTGCACAACTGCATCATTTATCTAGCTAATCTTTTATTTGTATCACTTACAAGTTCTGGTTTATCATTGTGTCCTTCAAGAGGCTTCTTTCAGGTTTTCTAAGCACAGAAGACGAGTCGTCGTATGGCAATTATGGACTAAAAGACCAGCACGCAGCATTAAAATGGGTGAATTCCAATATCAAACAATTCGGTGGTGATCCTGATCAAGTTACCATGACGGGACATAGTTCAGGAAGCATAAGTGCTATGTATCAAATGATTTATCCAAAATCTTGGGGTCTCTACAACAGAGTTATATGCCTGAGCGGAGAGGTATGTAGATATATTTGGTCTTTTGACAAATTTTCCTTTTACTCGGATACTCATACTCCAAATATACGATGTTTGTTTTGAAATTCATGAAATAAACATAGAAAGTGGCTCTACTGTTTCGCGTGGTCTGATTGGACTGATCATATCCAAATGGACAAGCTTCTAGTTGGGAGTAGTTTTTTAACGCTTGCCTTCTTGATAGTTCCTACTGGAACCTCTGCCGTGAAATGAATCTATTGAAAACAGTTTACCAACACCAGGACAAAAATTACGGTCGCTCGTAAGATAGTCATAATGACCTCCTGAGGACGCTAACTTGGTTAGAGAAACACGCGTCGTGTGACCGTAATTTTTGTTATGGTTTTGGAAATTTGTTTTCAATAGCTTGCCTCCTGCCAAAAGAGTTAGATAGATACATAGATAGATTTTTATTCAGGTCTATATGAGTATTACAAAGTTAATATAAAGATTTATCCGATTTTAATATTCACCATAAAAGAAATCTCAAATCCATTCCAGACCACTTATTGAACGTTGAAGATGTCAACAGATTTTTTGGAAGTATATCCAACTGCAACTCTTCCTCTGATGATGAAAATATAATTTTTTTCAAAGTAATATAAACAAATTCAAATTCAAATTTATTTCAATTTTTCAGTACAAATATGTGAAATTTAGTCATTAACATATTATGTCAAAACCACTACAAATGGGTGGAATACACCTAGGCATCAGAATGACTGTTTGTGCTGTTTCACTCCACTCGTAGTTGGAATATCATTTAACAGAGTACATGCTTACATAATTCAAATGAAAATTATTTATTTTTCATTATCAATTTAGAACAAAAGAAACATAGAAGTGACAGTAAATTAAAATTTGATTGAGATTACAATTGGGGTGAAGGTCGGAAGAAAGTAAACTGTAAGTTACCTCCAGCACTAAATCAAGTATTTCATAATATATACTTTTTGATAGCAGATTTGAATTTTTCAATTTTTGATATTGTTTTAAGCTCCATAGGAAGTTGGTTATATAATTTTGGCCCGAAAAAAAAGACGAATCTTTGCGTATGGGATTTTCGGTAATGTGGGGTTCTACAATTTGATTACTTATCAGTAAATCTAGTTTTTTTAAAAGTTGTCGTTGCATATTTTTTTTAATCTGAAAACATCCAAATCAAACACTGGTAGCAGTAGTGTGCTCTAACGTTCAGTAATTTGGTTTCTTCATACAGTTTTTGGGTCAAAAATCGTTTACCTTTCTTTGATATTATTTTCAATGAGGAATTCTGCATGGCTTGTAGAGGCTTTATCAAAGTATTGAAAGTTCCCCCCCGAGAGTTTAGGTGATCTCCGGCCAACTAGCATCTTATGTGCGCTCTCAAAAGTTTTTGAAAAAATATTTAACTTGCAGATGCGTGATTATCTGAATTACTTCGATATATTACCGGAGTATCAATCACGGTTCAGACCTGAACACAGTTGTACGACTGCCCTCCTGAAAGTTGTGGATGATGTACACAGATCTATTGATAATAACAAACTCTGTCTTCTCATATTACTGGACTATTCTAAGGCGTTCGATCGCATACACCATGACCTTCACTTTGCTATTTTGAGCTACCTAGGGTTTTCAATACATGCTGTAGCACTACTAACTACCTTCGCAATCGTTTTCAAAGAGTTGTGTACAATAATGAAAAATCTGATTGATTTCAAATTAAAACTGTGTTCCTCAAGGTTCAATATTGGGCCCTTTCTTGTTCGTTTTATACACATCTCAATCTCATAGGTCACTGCAATTCGCAACCATGCATTGTAATGCCGACGATACTCAACTGTACGAGACCCTATGGCAAATTAATACCGATATCGATATGTTTTTATCTTTGTCATTTTTCAAAAACTCTTTAAAACAAAAAACCCTTATATCTTTTTTGAAAAAAATATCCTTTAGAACTGACGTACACCATCACAACTTGAGATTCAGGACATATTTAACAATACCACAGCATTAAACTTCTTTATTTCGTGGATCTTTCACTTACCATATTGCCTACTCATATAATCGGATACCCATTGAATATAAACCTCTGCCATTAGTAAGCTTCAAACGGAAGATAAAAAAATATCTACTTGCAATAAATAGATCCATCTAATCGAATTATGTCCAAATCAATTAACCATTCTCCAAGATGAACAAAATATAAGTATATATCTGTATTTAAATTTCGATGTTTTTACTTGTTGCACTGTTCTTGATAGCATATTTTTTTTTTGTTTTTCTGTCTTCTTCTTTTGTTCTGACGGTTGTATGGAAGAGCAATCTCCGCGATGATTTATCATACGCAGATATTGAATTCTGCCATTTGATTGGTTGTAATTGTATGGAATCATCAATGAAAGCAATTATTATTATTATTATTATTGAACACATATTAAGTAAACGATGTAGAATATTCTACTCCTAACAGTCTAAGGTCACCTAAGCTATGCTTGTATTGTGCCCCTCAAGCTGCTGAATTTCATCTGAACATAAAAGATATGGGTAGGTATATACTTAACTTTCAATGTTCGAAAATAGCTTTTTCAATCTTCGATCTCCATTTCAGAAAATGTTTGATATGCAGCTGAATTCAGTCCGTAATCAAACTATTTGACTGGAATCTTGTTATGATGAAATAGATGAGAGAAGTATCGAAATTACATATTTTCATCAATGGACACAATCATGTCGCTGGAATTGCAAAGGCTGCGTCTCAAAAGCTTGGAACACTGTTTCGAACCTGAAAACTATACACACCTCAGCAACTTTTAATGCTTTATAAAGCTCAGATCAGACCTTCTTTGGAGTATTATTCCCATGTATGGAGCTCTGCCCCCAAACAAGCCCTGAAGCTACTGGATCCCATCCAGCCTGATTGGAAACGCAAACTTCACGTGCAACCTTGATAGCCTGGAACATCGAAGAAAGGTTGGAGATTTTTCTCTCTTCTATAGATACTTTCACAGAAGATGTTCAAGAGACCTGGCAGATTTGATTCCACCAAGAGCGGTACATATCAGAAATACGCGACGGACTGTGGCTGCTCATCGTCTTGAGGTTCAACTCAGTACACCTC